GAATGTAGTATTTTTATCGGGTTTGATAGACTCACATTCAATTCAAATTCAATTACCATATACAAAGTTGGCATCGAACAATCTATGATTCCGAGCCCATCAAAATAAAACATCATTTGCGAACGACGAATTATAAGACGCAGAATTTTTCTATTTTCAATCGGCATTTCATACCATGGAATACAATAGACAACATCAGCAAATTGTGCTGAAAGCAGCGTTACATTGTTTGCGTAGAAACAAAATATAAAACTAAATAGAATTTCGATAAGCACAGCATTTGAGCTCACAATCATGTCTGAATTTTTTTCTTGAAATACCTATAAAGAAAACAAAAAAAAAAAAATAACATTTTTCACATGGAGAATTTGCTGGTCTCGCGATCTCCTTTTTACCAAGTTTAATTGGAATAGAGAAACCGTTATGATAATAACATGGGCAAAAAGTTGAACAAGAATTGGTATGCCAAGTATATTGCGCGCCTCTTTCATCAGCCTAGTAGAATAAGAAATTTGTTTTTAAAGAATGTTGGTTCATTTGAATGATAACATTTTAATTTACATAAGAGTATCATTGTGCAATTCTATCGTATCGATCAACAACGATCTAAGTTTTGTTTTCTTCGTTGATTCAGCTTCAGCAGATTTAACAACATTAGCAGATGTGTGACATATTTCATTAACAATTTCCTTAAGATCACAAAAACATCCTTCGATGTAGACGCAAATTCCAATGTGAATCGAAACCGTGGCTATAACTTGAGTTACATACGCGATTGTTTCTACAGTTTGAAGCAAGGCCATAGAAAAGAACTCAATGAAATTCGTCGGTTTGAACGGAATTCTGAAAAAAACTACCACATTTTCATCAATTGTCTTCCATTTGAATTTTATTTTGCCTACGCATATGCCAATGACCACGTTCCCGGTTGAAATATCCCAAAAACTTCATATAAAATTGGCATAAATAGTGGAGCACAATTAATCGAAACCGTTGTAAATATCCCATAAATTAACATTTTCCAAACTACACTTTTATTGTGCTCCTCCATTTTAGCGTATATTTGTTGCGCCTTGGAATATTTTTCACTTCCTAAAGAATAAAAACAAGATAAAATTCAAAAAAACATGATTAAAATCATAAAAATAATGACGCAAGACTAGGAGAAGCGTCTTGCGTACAACACAAGTGGCGGGATATATTGCAAATATCGCACATTTCAATTCGATGGTAAATATGCACAAATATATCCATAGTCTAATCGCTGAAATTATCATAAGAAAATCTTATACTCACTCCAATCAACAATCGACTGCAGGGCTGCTAACAGTTTCTCAAGAGAGGATTTATTCACAATGTAACTTATATAAATGATTTCTCCTGATAGCATTCCCAAGCATAAACAACACGGAATCGCAATCACCTTAAAATCCGAATAGTTTTGAAAGCAAAAAATCGTATGAGAAATTACAGAAAGTTTAAATGGTATGCAAAACAGTATGTGAAAAATAAAATTCGGAATTTTCACATTGCCAATTGATATGGTTGAATTGTTTGCCAAACGCATGAAGTGAAACACTTTCATGCAATCGTTTAGAACAGTCATAATTATAGCTGACAGTGTAATAAAAAAGATAAAGTAGTTTAAAAAGAGCACAATCAAACTGATAACATTTTTAATGAAACAAATATTTATATGGAATTTGAGGTAATTAAAAATTCTTCGTAAACATTCTTTATTAATAAAATCACTTGACATTTTCAAAATTCAACCGGAAGAAAAAAATGATATAATTCGAATTATGAGAGAGATTTGATCCAAGAAAGTCAAACATATTAATATTTAAATGTTAAATAATAATAATAAATGAAGTGTTTAAAAATGCAGAACGACATTTCTTCAGTGACCGGTTCGCGCATATTTCCATGCTTGCCTAAATACGCTAGGTAGCATAGATATGCCAAGCATAGCCGCAAACGCAACCGACGCATCGCCGTTCACTCTATATGAACAATACACATGTTCGTTTATGCAGACGACCGTGCGCATACAATATAGCTCGAATCGAATGGCGACGGGTGCGTTGCGGCTTACGTCTCCGCTATGCTTAGCATAGCTATCAGGCATAGAAATATGCGCGAACCGGTCACTGCATTTCTTCGTATGGTTTCATATCTTAATATTGATAAATTGGAAATTGAGTTCATTTTTAAATTTTCTATCGTATCTATTCGTTAGCAAAAACAATGTAAATGTTTTATGTGATTCTTTAAATTTACCAAAACTTCAAAGATTGCTTCAATACTTATTGTAAAGGGTGTTTTTAAAGAGCCTTCTTACATTTTTTTTTTGAATAAGACACACACAATATGATATTTTAACCGTACAGATCATTTTATTTTGTGGAAAAATCCTTTACAATTAATGTAATTTATAACTATAGGTAATTTCTGGCACGTAGCCTCCTTCGCTTTGGGTGGGCCAGCCTATCATACATTCACATATGGTTAATGGTTAAGAATAATAATGAAACTTAATTTTAGTTCAAACTGGAGTGTCCCGCAGAATTATTTCAAATGAAAGTGTCCCGAATATTTGTTTCAAACTAAAATGTCCCTACAAAAAAGATGCATGTAAATTTTCCTAAGTGCCATTTTCATTTGCAATAAATTTGAGGGACACTTCGATTGTAAACTTTTTTTTGAGTCCTATTCATAGACATTTTTTCGGGGGACAGTTTGAGAAAAAGTTTTTTTTGACATTTCAATCATAGTTTTATGTACTATATATGTATGAGAACTGAGAAAAAATCTGTTCAATAGGTATCACATAGCAAGTTTATATGAAACTCTCGGAGACTCGGTATAGAGCACTCAAACAGTGAAAAAAGTCAAGATCGTGATTTAGATGATATTTTTCATTTTTCGCGATTTTTTATACCATCTATATGGGAAGCTTGTATGAAAAACACGGAAGACCGCTGAAATGGCAAATACGAAATTATGTACGGGCGTACAACAGTGTAATTTCACCTCAAGAGCTCGACGACAATGTGGTCGGTCTGTATTTTCAACTATTGGCCAAAAGGAGCCAAGTGCAACCAAAACTGCCGCGTGTCTACTCGTTTACCACGCACTTTTGGCTAAAGTTGAACGACGAAGGATATGAGGCGTTAAGAAATGGTCCAAAAACATCGATATTTTTGATTTTGATATGCTTTTGGCTCCAATGCAACCAACTCCTAGCCATTGGTGCGTTGTGATTGTCGATTTCGAAAAACATTCGGTGTTGAACTATGATTCGCTTGACGCGCCAAGCAGCAATTCGATTTTGGTTAAATTGAAGTTATATATAGCCGCCGAACATAGAGAAAGAAAGAACGGAAAAGATTTTTCTTTTGCTGGTTGGAAGGTTTCCAACGAGTCAAGCCAGCCTCTCCAGGAAAATGGTGTCGATTGTGGCGTTTTCTGTTACCAATATGCCGTCAAAATAAGTGCAGTTCCTTAACCCTCCTAGGTATAGAGTGAAAAAAAAACTTGAACGGATAGAGTCGGTCCATTGGACCGCCCATACAAAATGTATGAAAAGTCTATGAAATGAACAAAATTATATTTCTTTTTTTGTTGAAATTTTCATTATAATTTTTTTTAAATGGGAAAAAAGGTTGAAAATAAATAATTTATGACAAAATTAATTGGAATCTGATGATGCAGTTCATACGGACGCTTTTTGGTGCAGTTCGTACACATCGCAATTTTTTCGGAATGTTCACCACAAACATTTTTCATACATTTGCTGCACTGTGTTCGCGTCCTTCTATTGATTTAAGTGGGACATAAATGACATACACTTTTTTTTATCTTGTTTGGTTTGCGTTGTTGAAGTTGACGGTGCTGTTGAACTGTGCTGAGTACAGCTCGATGCGCTTTATTAAATCCATAAGTAGATCTGCGTGCTATTTGATCATACACCAATGCTTCTGATAATTCGATCAAAAATTTCTTGCGTTGAAATGAATATCGATCTCGTGTAATTCCATGTTTTGCATTATAAACAATGAACGCAGCGAGTCCACAATGTGGAGTCCATATACATTGATCAAGTTCATGAAGAAAGGCCAACGATTTCTGCCTCGTTGACATGAATAGCTATGACACAGTTGATCTGAATGATCAACGCCACCTTTTGTGCTGTTATAAAATGTATTGATTTCATCTTCAGAAACCACACTTTTGATCGACAGCGAACGAATCATGTTTGTGTTTCTTAGCTTATATACACATATACTCAAATTCTTTCTTTTTTATTCTTTGCTACATTGCTGAATCTACTCTATATGCACCGTTTTATAACGCAAAATTCAGAATGTGCACTGTTGACAGTTTTGAATTGTTTTATTTTTTACTGTTTATATGAGGTTTTCATGCATTTTGTATGAGCGGTCCAATGGACCGCCACTATACGTTCTAGGTGAGATTTGGTTTTATCAAATGTCCACAACATATACAATTATTTTATGATAGAAACAGTATGCACATGAATTATAATCTTCTGTACGAATAATCTGCCCGAGAAATTTTGAATTTTTTTAATTTACTTCGATTTTTATTCAATTTTTTCAAAAATTTCGGTCCAATGGACCGCCTCTATACCTAGGAGGGTTAATGATTACGAAAAAACGTATTTGAAAATTGAACAAAATTAAACACTGGACATTTTAACTTAAAAATGATAGGAATTTTTTTTATTCAAAAAGGCAAATAATTTGAATCCATTTCAACACGATATACGTCAGCTTCAAGTTAAAACTAATAAATAGAAGTAAAAAACAACATAGCATTGTATTTTATGTGTAACATGGAACGTTATTAATTATTATCAATGAAAAAAGCGAATTTGCAAATATACATATTTTAAATCGAAGGAACAAAATCGAATATTTTTTTAAAATAATTTGAATTACATTTTGGTTACAATATGATTGAAACTTTAATCGTTATTTTCATTACACATCTGGCGATGTAAATTCATAGCCCGTCGATGCAGAGTTGGCCTCTTTGATGTTTTTGTAGATGGAATACTTAACGATAAACAAATAGGCGGAACCGACTGAAAATGTAATCAAATTAAATCGGGCGAATATAACCGACCTTTTTATCTAGACTCATTACCTGTTATAATGCAGAAAACAAAAAGCCCAATTCCTAATAACATTTGACCATGAAGTGCCAATATTGAATAAAATCCCATCGAAATAACCAGAACAATGTACAAAATAATTGACCCGATTGCACTCGTAATAACATTTAATAACATATAACTTGGTCGATTCTATAAAAATGATGAGCAAAAAAATTGTATGAATTTACCAACTTTACACACAAATGACAACTAACCTCAATATGAACAAAAATTGACATAAAACTCAATTTATCCGAAGTCTCAACCGTTTTTAGGATAAATTTTAGTATGCATTTTTTCCGCTCAAATGCCAAAGTGATATATGTTGAGCACTTAAATATTTGAGCGGAAAAAATCTGAACTAAAATTTATACTAAAAACCATAGAGACTTCGGATAAATTGAGTTTTATGTCAATTTTTGTTCATATTGAGGTTAGTTGTCATTTGTGTGTACTTCAAGAATTTGTTTTACCTGATAAATTCCATAAAGCCAACAAGCACTGATAATCAATCCAAATACTGAAATTTAATACAATAATTTTAATTGAATGAAGTCTTATGATTCAAATACTTTACCATTTAATATCCCATATACAAATACATATTCAATCCTATATAGAAATAAAAATATTAGGCTTTGAAATATAGAAATGCAAGAAGTTACAACTCCAAGCCAGCCAATAATTAATCCACCAGTTCTTAAATCGAAACAGCCAAAAAAATTAGAAACCATTGGTAAATTCATATTGAACATTTTATAATTTTTATTTGTCTCGCGATTTAAGTGAAATGAAGTAAATTTAATCAAATGCTGAACGATTAAGAAAAGAATATAGGACGAAAGATGCACAGATGTTTTTGCCTTACGAACTAGTTAAAACAAGAATGATAAAAATTGGTTATTTTATTTTTGAATACAACGAAAAATAATGGCAAAATGCTTAAAATGCGGACTTACGCGAAGAGCTGTGAGAGAATAGTGAAAATATACGAGTGGAAATAAATAAGCGACACGGTTACTATGTGTACCTGTACGCATGTTCTTCACAACTGTTACCATATGAACTAACACGACACCACAAAATTCTTGCGTATTTCCAAATTTTACTCATGGATGATGTCACCTATTTTATTTATAGATTATTGATGAGACCTCAAAGTTGAAAATGAAAGCCTCAAAGAAAAACTACATATTTTTTGTAATGTTGAAAAGAGGAATATATGTTTGCTTAGAAGAAAATTACACATTGCAATAAAAACGGTCAATAAAAACGATTTATATAAGAATAATACGCAGTTTTGACAAGCGCAAACCTCGTTGGGGCACTTCTGATATATGCTCTTTACATCAAAGGATATGTAATAAAAGCATGTCGTGGATTACAGTGCGGAAAAGTTCATATTACAGGTGACATTGTATTTAAATTTTCTTGCATAGATTTGTTAACAAAAACAAAGTGAATATTTTATTTGATACCTACCAAAACTTCAATGAAAAAAAAAGATTGTTCCAATAAGAAAAATCAATCGCATTTATTTTGGATCCTAATAAATAAATAATGAAATAATTTTTAATAAAATAATTGAAAACTTCGTTCATTCGGTTTCTACAATTTGTTAATCATGTATTTTGTTCTTCTACCAGAGATTACATACGAAATATCACAGAAAATGTTTTACAATGACAAATAGATAACATTTTATACATAACATTTACAATATCCTTGAAAATATTTCGTTACATCAATGTTTAATGTTTTAGCTGATATACAATTTAAAAAAAAATGCGTTCGTTGGTCAAAGACTAAATGTGGATGTGCTATCAAAAGATTTTTTTGGCATTTTTTAAGCCTTGAAGTGTATAAATGTAAAAAAATTCAAATTTGTACAAATAATTAGGTTTGATAAGTATCCACAATGTCAGGAAGATGATGAGTTTCCACACTGTGTGTTTGATGGCAGTCACTTTGTCGGCTATTCTCGTCAATTTTCAGCGTAAATAGTTCGGTTGGCTCCGTTGATGCGGTTCGATTATATTTCTGAACAGCAAAGCACTCATCTGGTAAGAAACGATGTATGACTGGGGATATGAGATCGGGATTGATTTTTCTTAAATCCCGTGGTCCACTGATGTAAGATGCAATTATACCAACTATTAATACTGTTGAAACGCCGACTAAAATTTTGAAAAAAAAAAAATGTATTAGAAAATGATTAATTTGAAAGTGATCGATCATTTGAGTGATCGAAAATCTTACTTGGATTGATCCACATAAATGACAAACGATATAGTGGGAACACATCCGATTCATCTACAACAGGTGGAATCGATGAATTGTAATAGCCAAATGTTTCACATCCTCCGATTGACATGTTAAGTTTATGGGATTGAACTGCTCCCGATGCAATAGCTGCTTGTGTGCCAAATGAAATCCACCCTGACATTATCGCACCACTTATCGCACCACATATAGCACCAACATTATTACTCCATGGCTTTAATTGTGAAATGAAAAAAAGAGTTATGAAAAATCAAAGATTCAAATAAATTTCTGACAAATATTTCAATGGAATAAATTTTACCACAAGCATTCCAAGTGTGAATACACCAAATGTTGTTCCAGCTGCAATAGCTGACAGTGAGGTCGCAACTTCCTAAAGGTAGATGATGAAATCAAAATAAAACAAAAAAAAACACGATTAAAATCATGAAAATAATGAAGCAATTTTTCCAATTGCTGAAAAATACAATAAGTACGGTCAATTTGAATTTAAAAGCTAAGATCAATTGTATTACCAAAATTCCTCCAAGTTTTTCTACAATCATCAAGAAAACGAGTGATAATGCTCCCAAGACTAGTACACTGCCTTTTACAATGGCATTCGATGCTTTCTCAGATGGTTGACTCTTGAAACACCCACGACAAATGTCTTCCAACAAAACTCCAGCTGTTGAATTTAAAATTACGGACAAACTACTGAGTGCGGCTCCGAAAATACCGGCTATGAACAATCCCGGAATGCCACGGAGCTTGCTAACAGTTTGCATCACATAAAATGGAAACAATTGATCATCATTCTGGAAATAAAATCCAAAATAAACTATATTCTCAGGAAAACTCGAAAAATGTTTTTATTTATGTTGAAATTTACCTTAACAAATCCAGCTAAATTTGGATCACAATCATGAAATGCGGCAAAAATTAAAACGCCCGCATAACAACAAAACGAGAGGAATATTATGACTCCAATAACAAATATCAAAATCGATCTAAATTTCAAAATGGAAAACATATTAGAAATTCAATAAAGATTTTTAGTCAGAATGTTTTTTTTTTAATCTTGAAAATTGTCTGGTCCAAAACTGATCCAAGCTTGAACTAATTGATCAATTGCTGCTATCGATCGAAAATTGAACGTACTTAGTGTGTATTCGTCATAGTACACTGTATTGCTATGGGGTATTTGCAAAATATGCATTCACCAGCGTCTGGTGAACTGCAATTATCGATAGCAATAACAAATAAATTAGTTGAGGCGTATTGGTACCGAGAAAACAATTTACAAGGTCAAACCAAATTTTAAAAAATGGTGCTCACTGTCTTGCTTTCTTTATGTTCGGTAGCGACATGTATCGCTGAACCATTGTTTGATTGACGGAATTGAAAGATGTCCAATAAGTAAAGCCGCCGATAAGTACACTCCAGAATGTATGTCTTTCATATAAAGATGGATTAAAACTGTAAAGAAAAAGTAAACATGTTTACATACTTATTGGAAAATGCATTTTAATAAAAGTACAACTAACTTGAACAAAATGATTCGATTCCCTTCTGCTGCCTTCTCGAAAGTATTGAAAAAACCCCCACTAGCTGCAGTGCCCAAGCAACAGACCACCACAACAGATATAAACATCACAATCACTATTTGGAGAAGAAGTCACTAGTTGAAATTGGTATTCGTTTTGATCGATTCGTATTGATAGTTACCTTGCCATGCATCAGTTGATACCACAGCCTGTTATCAAAAAATAAAAATAAAATCGTTTTATAACTTGTTTTCTAAAAGAACCTAACAAAGAAAGAAAGAAACTTTGATTGATCTCGACAACTACTTATGTACACTAAAAATATATTATGTTTTATTAAGTAGATGTTTAAACCAAATAAATAAATTAATAGAGATAAATTATAAAAGTATCACAAAACATTTACCTTAATTCCACCAACAAATGTGTAGAACACACAAACTGCGCACACGATGCCGGAGATTAAATAGATATTAGCACCCGTTACTTGGTTGAATGCCAAAGCCGGTACATACAAAACGATGGGCAAAAATAAAATCTGCAAAAAATTAATTCTTCTTATGAGATACAAAAATTTTACTAATAGAAAAATGGATGACACATGGCGTGATAACGTTGTGTAAATAAAAATAGAACCAGAATTTAGGGAACAATGAAAAGATATTTTCGAATTTTTTAAATACATCGTGGACTCGAGTGATAAGATTACAAAAAAAATTGTTTTTCTTTCATTAAGGTCGATTTGAAGCGATTTCACCTTGGTGACGAATCATATTAATGAGGTTTTAATTATTTCATTAAATTATTTTTGCTTACCTCATCAATCACAAACATAACCGACGCTATTGTACGAACGGTTGAACTAAAACGTAACTCTAAGTACTGTAAACGAAACGAAAATGAGAAAATGCTTTAATATCGAATTCGGTTAATTTCATGTGCACTAACATATAAACCATTTAATGTTACTTAAATATTTTCCAACATCTTTACCTCATACGAAGATCCAACTTGAAGTGTTGTGAAAACAGGTAAATAAACCGTACTAACGGTATAGCCCATAAATACAATTGCTATGATAATTAACCAATATTGTGTGCCGAAATTATATATCTCTGCCGGTGTTCCTCTGCCGATGGAAAAGAAAATATTTTTTAGCATTGGCATTTTATTTTATTGAAGTGTTGATTGTAACTTACAGAATCGTAACACCTGAAATGTAGCTGAAAATGACATAATAGTAATTTGTTGATAGTATTATTTTGCAGCTCTTTGGAACTATTAAGTAATGTCAATTTACCTGGCCACAAGACTCATTGCCACCGGAAACGGTTTCATTTTCCTAGAACCTAACAAGTACTCATTCAATGACTTCGAACCGAAATCACTGACCGGTTTTTTTGTTACTTCATTCTCAACAGGCGCTCGTTTTCTTTTCGCATTTTTCTCAGTTCGTCGCCTAATTGAGTAGAAAACAAATAAAAACAACTATAATAATTAGCATTATGTGTGACACTGTAAGCACATAAATGCTTTTTAATACATACTTGACATATCCAAAGTATGCGCCCGATGTGGCTGATAAAATCAGCATAGCCGAGAATACACAATAGTCCACAATTTGAAAATGGGATTCATTATTAGATGTAAAACCTCCAGATGACATTTTTTCTAAAATGAAAAATACATCTTGTTTAAATTAACAAATCAGTTTGATTCAACTATTTTTTTAAATAAATCAATCTTTTTTTGTTTTATTTCAACCGTCAACCATTTTAATAGCTATCAATTGCTGGCGTCATAGTTGGAATTTTATATGAATATGATTAAATGATTGTTCATTAGATCGTGTTCAATCGTATTGAATTCACGTGACTTCGTGTGATATCAGATTTGATCTTTGGACCAAATGTTTTCCATTAATTGCCGCAATTCTTTCGTTAAAAATGAGCAAACATGGTTGCACGCGTTGACGTTTTATTTTTAATGCAAAAAATTAACGATCAATTTATCAACGTCTATCCATAAAATGGCGCAGTAAAAATCGGCAGAATGTATGAAAATTCCCAAAATATTGTTTTTTTCTGTTTCATCATTATTATTTACAACGAATTATAATGAGAAATTTTCAAAATTGATAAGCTTTTTTCCACAGATTACAGATCCCACATAAAAGACTTGAAAAATGAGATGTGATGATATGACCTAGGCATGAACCAAGAGGTCTTCATTCTACACGTGTGTAAAGAACCATTTACTTGTCAATCATATGACTTTAATAAAAAAAGCTGTTCGTGAAATTCTTTTTACACTTTGAATAATCAAAGTCCCGTTTTATTGAAACAAAAAACATGTCACTTTGCCCATAAGGAAGTTGAATTTTATTTCACGTGCAAGTACACTTAAAAGGATAGAACAAAATTTAGTACGGTGTCAGTATTAACAAGAAATTCTTAAAATGTTTCTCTATCACTATACGGATTAACTCTTTAGCTATACAATTTTATTGACACTTATCCACATCAAAGATTTAATTATTTTATAATTTGAACCAAATTCGAGTGGATTGTGAAACGATTTATTGTACTATTGTTTTGATTCAAATGGCACATGATAAATGAGTCTAGCAACAAACCGCCGTTTCTGATAAGATAGAATGTGAAAAGATGTGATTTGATGTCAAAATGTCTGTAATTTTATTCCGAAGCCCGTGTGAGTCAGGCAACTGAATGAAACTTTTCGCCCTTGATTGAACTGATCAATCGTGCATTTCTCTTTTTGCACTCATTCCATTTTATCAACATGAATGACGTCAAGGAAAAGCATTTCTGCAGTGGGACACTTTTATTTAGTTAATTGAACTCTATTTATCAATTATTGATATAAAAGAAATATGCGTTAAATTAAATTTGGTTGAGTGTTGTGTTGTTTTACTATATGTACTTTACACACTTTGATCACACAACAATGAAAACAAAATGAGACTACTTCGAATTAATCACAAATTTCAACTGAATTGTCTCAATCAACAAATAAATTGACTTGATTTATTGGTCACCGTTTTCGATTCATACGTTAAACGATGAATTTGCAAAATATTTGGTCGATTTGCTTATATCCACGCATAGAAAGAACTTTTTGCAAAGGTTTCACGATCGTAGCATAAAACTTGAATTTTTTTTATAACGGTTGTCTTTCACTCAACTTGTTTTTTCGCGTGAACACATTGGAATCAAAAAAAATATATATGTGAGATTATGACCTAGCTTCATCTTGATTGCAGCTAGCAATGTCGTTGATTACACAGTGTAATTTAGACCCCGCATTTGACAAGATTTTGACTAGATGTGTGATGAAAATTTCGTTGTGTTAATCTTGAAAATAAAAAACTTGTTTGAAGCAACAAAAAACACATATGGCATTTCCTTACATTATATGTTATCGGTATAGGAAATTGACTATTTTGAAAGTGCATTTACATTTATGTAAATAACACAGCGAGTTACATGTTATAGACAAAACGAATCATTTAACGAATGAATCGCAACATATTTAAATTTAGTGACTGAAATTCATGTTATCAAACAACAAAATGAAATCCAAAGGCCATCGATATAAATATAAACCGTAAATCCGACTAAGTAGCGTCACCAAAATCAAATCGTAATTAAATAACAGACACTTTTTTGAATCGCATTATTTTGTGGCATCAAAGGGTATTCATAGCACGTGAAAATGTGTGCGAACATACACGTCAATTGATGCCAATCAAATACACACATATGTTTGTTTTGTTCTCCGTGGCATCTGTGATAAAAATATAAATGTGATTGATGAAAATAGACTATTTTTAACAATATTGCCACTTCTCAAGCAAGAACTTGCAAAATAAAATCATTGATTTATCCATTGAAATCTTCACGGTTTAAAAGTCACACAGCCGGCACTGTTGTGTTATTCTGTTAGAAAATTGTTTCCGCAAAACGGTATAGAACAATAATATAAAATTTAAATGACCTTGTTGAATGCGGGTCGTAATTTTGTGAGAGAAAAAAAGAATTGTTTTCAGTACACTAAAAAAAATTTGATGACGATTTTATTTACAACCTTTCGCAGTATGATGCGAAATTCGACTAAAGCTATGAGTGAATGAGCGCGTCGAGTCGCCGGAATAGACACGATTAATGCATATATACATTCATTTTTGATGTTGCACGTATGAAAGAATGAATGAACGAACAAACGATACAGATATGTGTTTGTATTTAATAGCCAATACGATACGCACCTTGGACTATAAACATTTCAACACATTTTTATTATCACCGATTACTATGTTTATTGAAACTCTCACGTTGTCTTTTTTTATTTGTCACAATTTTCTTTCTTTCATTATCTCTTTACATAACAACTACAAACATGCATTGGTTTATCTTTCTCTCTTTTGATACGATTTTACATGTGCTGTTGACAGTAGCCGTATGAATCGATTTATTCTAATTGAAACTGTCAATATGACTGTTGCGACGGGCAACTTCAGGTCGGTTCACACTAATGGAAACATTACGTATTTTTTACGTGAAGGGGAATATGAGAGAGAGAACAAAAAAAAAATAATGTCGTGGTTTTACGTAAAAATTGACACTTAACAGTGGTATCAGCCGCAACGTCACAGTTTTGACTTTTCCATCATCATAAAACACACGTAGAGTTTTGCTTGTTCCTCATCTGAAAGTGAAAAAAAAAACTCAATTTACATCAAATTGTTGTATTTTTTGTATTAATTTTCACTCAACACAATTGAGGTTGGCCGGTACTTTTGTTTTCTCGTTGAATACAGTCAGCCAAAACCTCACATAAAAAATGACACCGAATTTTAAACAAAAACATTCAATCGACGATTTAGTTCATTATGTCACGCTGCATAAAATCTTACCACTTGCTCTACGGGCCATCGTTTGGCCATTCGTTGTGTTCTACTTAATTTGTTTGGGATTTATTTATCAAACGGATCCGGAAAACTATGAAATCGGACTCATAGCGTTAGCTATCGTGGGATGTTTCCACATATTGACCGTATTATGTTGTTATTGGAGTGTTCATATAGCAGCCTTTCTGAATTGCCGAAAGGTAACTTTGATCATATGAAAAAGTCGAGGAATTTGTGAATTTTTAATCAATCGATTTGTAATATATTCATACTGTTTTTTCATGCCATTTTTTGTATCAATTTTCAGGTGAAATTTGAGTTACCACAGCAAAATGTTTTTGCAAAAGTTGTGCCGATGCCAAATAATGGGTCTCCGGAAATGGTCCAGATTTATAGTACGCAGTTGAATAATGCGGAACAACAAGTGATCTCATGGTTTGTTTTCCAAAAAATCAAATACGTTTGGGATGCGAACAAGAAAACATTTCGTGGCATTGATTTTCCGATTAATAAAACATATGGCGAGTATATGAATAGCAAAGGACACCAAAGTGAGGAAACTGTTGAATTGGCCAATAAACGATATGGTAACAATCAAATGGAAATGGTTGTGCCAGAATTCATGGCATTATTTATTGAACGTGCCACTGCTCCGTTCTTCGTATTTCAAATATTTTCCGTGGGTTTATGGTGTTTAGATCAATACGTGTACTATTCGCTGTTCACATTGTTTATGCTGGTAATATTCGAGTGTACTCTAGTCCAACAACAGCTCCGAAATATGGCGGAAATTCGAAAAATGGGCAACAAACCAAGTTTAATCAATGTGTATCGCAATAATAAATGGCGTCAAATCATGTCCGATCAATTAACACCTGGTGATTTGATATCGGTAGGGCGAAGTAAGAATGATACATTTGTACCGTGTGACGTTGTGCTGCTGCGTGGCAGTTGTATCGTTGACGAGAGTATGTTGACGGGTATGTTGTTGTTGTTTGATGAAAAAAAATCAGAGTTTCTTAATAAAACTCGTTTATTTACAGGTGAATCTGTGCCACAAATTAAAGAATCACTTGAAGCAACCGACGAAATCCAACGTGAACTTGACCCAGAAAGTGATGGAAAATTGTTTGTTTTATTTGGCGGCACAAAAGTCGTTCAGCACACACCACCAACAAAGGTATCACTTCGAGCACCTGACGACGGTTGTATTGCTTATGTTATTCGTACCGGATTTAATACATCACAAGGAAAACTATTACGGACCATTTTGTTCGGTGTAAAACGGGTCACCGAAAATAATTCCGAAACATTTGCATTTATTTTATTCCTTTTAATATTTGCACTTAGTGCAGCCAGCTATGTATGGATTAAGGGAACAGAGGATTTAGAACGTAGCCGTTATAAATTGTTCTTGGAATGTACACTTATTTTAACATCAATCATTCCGCCAGATTTGCCAATCGAATTGTCACTGGCAGTGAATACGTCATTGATAAAATTGGCCAAACTGTATGTGTTTTGTACAGAACCATTCCGGATTCCACTAGCTGGCAAAGTACAAATTTGCTGCTTTGATAAAACGGGAACGTTAACGAGTGATGACCTTTTGGTTGAAGGAATTGCTGGTTTGAGTGACTCCACGTCGGACATTGTTAGTATCGCTGATGCAAGCGAAAAGACGGTTAGCGTTCTTGCAACATGCCATTCACTTGCTCAGCTTGATGATGGTTTGGTTGGTGATCCGCTGGAAAAGGCCACATTAACAGCGATCGATTGGAATTTAACCAAACAGGATTCGGTCATTCCGAAAAAAGCCAAATTTAAAGCCATGAAAATCTATCAACGATTCTATTTTTCATCAGCACTGAAACGAATGTCTGTGCTGGCTGGTTATTTAGTTCAGTTCACCAATGAAGTTAATTATATTGGTACTGTGAAGGGGGCACCTGAAGTTGTTATGAAGATGCTGAAATCTGTACCGGAAAATTATCAAAAGGTCAGTAGTTTATTTGTTCAATTGATAGTTTTCATTTCAATCGAGTATAAACTTAATTTTGCATTTCTAGACATATTTGGAGTTTTCACGACGTGGAGCACGTGTTTTGGCGCTGGCATACAAAGAGTTTGGCACATTGGATGCACAATCGGCGCGTGAAATCAAACGGGAAGATGTGGAAAAAGATTTGGAATTTGCTGGTTTTGTCATCATTTCTTGCCCGCTGAAGAGCGATTCAAAGAGTGCAATCAAAGAAATTGTAAAATCAACACATAAAGGTATTCATTTTTATTTTGTGATGCTTATATTGGAAAGTTTCGGTTCAATGTATTCAATACATGATGTGATTTTTTTTTGTATGTTGTTTTTTACAGTCGTAATGATAACTGGTGATAATCCATTGACCGCATGCCATGTAGCAAAGGAACTTCGATTTACACGCAAAACTATTTTGGTGTTAAGTCAAGATATACAAAACACCGAAGATGATAAGCCAAAATATATTTGGATATCAATTAATGAGGATCAAGTCGAGCAAATCGACGGAAAAGCATGGAAAAGTCTGGTGCAAAATTATGATTTGGCAATAACTGGCGAGGGACTTCAATATTTGTGTGACTATCAATATCAATATTTCCAAAAAATTGCACCTTATATTACTGTTTATGCTCGATTTGCGCCTAAACAAAAGGAATTTATCATCACAACGCTGAAGTCACTTGGTAAGTTTGGAATTGATAGTAAACTAAAGAATCAATAGAACGTCGTACTTAATAGAAATAATTTTTCTCACCGACAGGTTACTTTACGTTGATGTGTGGCGATGGCACAAATGATGTGGGTGCACTGAAACATGCTCATGTTGGTGTTTCAATTTTAAGTAATGCATCAATAAAGAAGAGAAAAGTAAAGCCAGACAATGCCCTATCGTTGTCTTCAGGTTCAATTATACCACCAGCCGGTGGTAATACCGCCGCACAGAATCGCATTCGTGGAGCAAATGATCGATCTGCATCGTCGATGACACCACGGGAACGTGCAATTGCCAAACATCGTGAACAATCACAAGCGCTCATAAATAAAGCCCTAAAAGATATCGAAGAAGATCAAGTTCAAATTGTAAAATTGGGCGACGCATCCATTGCCGCTCCATTTACAAGCAAAACATCATCGATAAATTGTGGTATGTTTCCCGCCATTACCAATATTCACTTAATAGTATATTTAATGTGTTCAATATTGTTCTCTTTGCAGTGACAAACATCATTAAACAAGGCCGATGCACGCTCGTCACAACACTACAAATGTTTAAGATATTGGCTTTAAATGCGCTCATTTCAGCCTATTGCCAATCGGTTTTATACATTGATGGTTTCAAATTCAGTGATACGCAAGCAACGCTTCAAGGCATCTTTATTGCAGCGTGCTTTTTATTCATAATTAAATCAAAACCATTGAAAGTTCTATCGAAAGAAGCGCCATTGCCAAATATTTTCAATTTGTATACGATTTCATCGATTTTACTTCAGTTTGCCGTTCATTTTACCGCTTTAGTCTATCTAACGTCTGAGGCAACCGCTCGCAGTCCACCAAGAGAAGGTAAAGTGAAACTAAACATTGATCTGGCACCAGGCGAAGAAGAGGAAGCATTCAAAGCAAATATCATCAATAGCACGGTGTTTATCATTTGCTTTGCATTACAAGTGTCGACATTCGCTGTCAACCATAAGGGCCATCCCTTCATGGAAAGATTACGCGAAAATAAATTCTTAATGTATACGATAGCAGTATCGAGTGCAGTCATCGTTGCACTCAGTTTTGGTCTATCCAGTTCATTGAATGAAACATTCGAGATTGTCGAATTTCCCGAAGAAGTAAGTGCAAATCAATTTTTATTTAATGATACACAATAGACTAAATTACTAATTTCCATGTTTCCCTCTTTTTTATAGTTTAAACAGATTTTAGTACGAGTTCTCATTGCGGATACTGTACTGGCTTTTGCTGTCGATCGAATTTGTTCATTTCTATTCGGATCTATTCGCAGATCAGATATATTATCGGACTAATCCATTCCATTGAAGAACGTGTTTTATCCAGAAATTAAACATTTTATTTATGTATTTTTTCATTCGATTGTGTGCATTGAAATATGTATTTTTTTGATTTAGACAACTAAAATAAAGATGAATAAATCAAAGAGAAATCATTACTTCAACTTTGTTGACAATTGCTTTTTTTTGTTTTATTTTACTTGAGTGATCATAACGACTCAAATGTCAATTGACATTTGAAATGGAACATTCGCGTCTTACTTTAATATGTATTCATATTTGGTTTAGCGCATACTTCTTGTTGAATGTATACGTATATGTCACAGTGACAGCACAGCTTTTGCGACGTGAATATTATCCACTTTTGCTTTTGTTGAAGAGTTTTCGCATTCCGAATCGGTATAATTTATTTATTTCTTATTTCAATCGAATAATAAGAATAAACATACTTTATTCGTTCTGCCGATGAAATATTTTGATATTATTTCGCTTAGTTTGTGTTTATTCTGAATTGTTATAATTGTTTTTGTTCTCGTTAAATCGGAGTGTAGCATATTGGATGATAACGAACAAAAAAGAATACGACGAAAGAAAAAATAAGAAAAACAATACAGTCGACGTTCTGTATATAACTATGATTTAGTGTAGTAAGTGTATTGAAAAGAGTGCATGGATTGCACAAATATAACACTCCTTTCATCATGCTTCGTCTTCGCTTCACATACACAGTACATGTTGATTTAGTGGGCTATGCATAACGGCATCAGTACTATATTATTTTCAAACCGAACAAAGAAAATCATTTAAAGACAAAATGGAGGATGGGAGGAATAATAAAAAACAAAATCGACCATTTGGTCAGAAAAGACAAAATAATTTTCGCAATGGAGACAATAATGGGAAAAATAAAAAGAAAGAATTCACAGAACCTGCCGGCCCAAGTGGTGGAGGAAATCAAAATAATCGAAAAAAGAATAATGAAGCCAAACACCCGATTGGCTACAAAACACTGGAAACCGTGCTTGAAAAAGTTGAGAACGATGCCGAGTTTATATTGAAATTATCGTCCAAGATGAACGGATTTCTACTTTTGCTCGACCAACAACCAATTCGTCCGGATTTTATGTGTCTTGTTTTGGCGGCTCTTGCCAGAGCATCGAAAAGTTCCACCGAACAAGACACGATTCAATTGCTTGTCCATTTTTATATGGAAATAATTCCAAAATTAAACAGCAAGTCGAATTTTTATTCGGTGCTCAAGCTATACATTTCAGGTAATGAATAAATAAATGTTATTTAATGTTATTATATGTTAACAATTTATTGTTATTCTCATTAAAAATAGATTTTGATAAAAATCTTGCCATTCATTCGCCATGGCGTCAAAAACACGTTGAAGCCATTCAAAATTTGTTAATATTTTTGCGTCGACTCCAATTGACACTATATCAAAAATCATTTGATGCTGTGCGCGATCTAATGCAAAACATAACTGCGCAAATTGAATTTTTAAATCGAAAAGGAAACGCATTGAATGAATTCATCGTTGACATGATGAACCAATTAAATGATTCAGTAGAGAATTTCGAGCAAATGAAAGAAGAAACAGAAAAAATTGAAGTTTTGAGGGAACCACCGGAAGAATTTCGAAAAATCGGAATTTACCCGGGCACCTTCGATATATTAAGCAATCATGAACCATTCATTCGCAAGAATGTCATTGACGGGAAATATTCGGGTGGCGTTGAGCACTATTTGGACGTTCAATTTCGTTTATTGCGCGAAGACTTTGTTCGTCCATTGCGCAATGGTATCACTGAATATCGGAGCCTTAAGGACAAACCAAAAGAAAAGGCTGCAGCGAAGTTTCGCATCAACGATTTGAACATCTATCAAAATGTTCAAATTTATGGCTCGAAAATGTTACACAGCGATCAAGTGTATTTCTGTAAATTTGATTGCACGCCATTCAAAAATTTACGATGGCAGGTGAGTTTCATTTTAAGCATTTTTTTTACATTTTTTTTTATTTAAAATCGTTTGCATTGTTTATATAGTTTAATAAACGAATGATGTCCGGATCGCTGGTATGTCTTTCGCAAGACGATTTTGAAACGTTCTTTTTCGCCACGGTGGGCGGAGCTGGGCCACGCAATCCCGAGAAATTGGCAAAAGGTGAATTTCAAATAAAACTTGAAATCGAAAGTTCAGAAATGCCAGAAATAACACCACTAATCAATTATGTAATGGTGGAATCGCAAGTGTACTTCGAGGTATGTGTACTTTTTGAATGAAATGATTACATTTAATGAATCAAGCATTTAATTTTGACATTTCACGTAGGCCTATCGTCACAATTTAAAAGTGCTGCAATCATTTGGAAAAGACAATTTTCCCCTAGAAAAATACATCGTTAATGTCGATAAAGTCATCTCACCTCCGTCATATTTAACCAAAGATTCTGTCTATCTAATTTCAAACGGTTTGCCCGAAACAGATCCCGAAAGAAAACTGTCGCCAATTGACATGCTGAGCAATCAACAATGGCCGCCGCGTGAAGATTTTAAATTGGACGAATCTCAGTATGAAGCGTTCAAGGCGGCATTAACAAAACAAATGGTTGTAATTCAAGGGCCGCCTGGTACAGGTAATTCATTTCAAACTAACTCTGTTTTATTTTATTCATTTTTTTTTGTTTCTTCAAATTAGGTAAAACATACATTGGGTTGCGCATTGTCGAAGTTTTGCTTGCCAACACTTTGCAATGGCCTATATTGATTGTTTGTTACACGAATCATGCACTGGATCAATTTCTCGAAGGTATTCTGAAATTTTGCGACACCAACGTTGGACAGGAATTGGTTCGCATTGGCGGAAAATCACAATGCGAAGCTTTGGAGAAATTTAATTTGTCCAGTATCAAGTCCAACATGAAATCAAAACGTGAAGTACCCGGGTACATTCACCAAGGCCGCCGCGAGAGCAGTTTTCAATTGCAAGCAATTCAAGCGAATATTACATATCTTGAAAAACAAATGGAACACTTAACTGACAGTGTACTTGGAGATGAGCTCCAAGAAGTAATAAAGAACCTTAATCGGAAACATTATGACCAATTACGTATTCTAGCAAATGGACGTAGTTTTAACGAAGGAATATTGAATTGGCTTGGCTACGTTGTGAAAACGGATACTGATGACCAAGAAAACAATGTAAATAATATAAATAACGATGATGAGATTGACGATGAATTAATACAGGAAGTTTTTGACGAGGAAGTGGAAGAATTGGATGAAGAAGATGTAAGAGCAATGGAAGAACAGCGGTTCATTGAAGAGAGTTCCGATGAACAGGATGAATTCGATGATGATGATGCCGCGCAAGTTCCGTTCCAAGATTTTCATGCACCAATAAATCTCAATAATATCGTTTTGATGGATAATGAAGACGCCGATGGCTTCCAACTCGTTAAAAATAGGCGAAAAACGCTTAAGCGACAAATTAAACAAGAAATTAAGAAATCGGAAACAATGTTGGAGGAACATGCCATAGCAGTTGCAGATATCAATACACTCTTCCCAAACAGTCGCTGGAACCTGTATAGATTATGGAGAAAGTTGTATATGCAGACGTTTGAAAAACAAATTAAAGTTCATCGTGATGCATACCGAACGGAATGTCTTCGTTTCAATGGTCTAAGAAACCAAGAAGACATTGAAATTGTGAAAAAAGCCAAAATTATTGGCATGACAACGACTGGAGCAGCCAAATATCGTCATATCATTGATGGAACGAAACCAAAAATAACTAGTAAAAACCATTGAATTGAATCATTATTTTATTAAATCGACTGAGACTAATAATTTTTCATTATTTCCAGTTGTCGAAGAAGCGGCCGAAGTGCTCGAGGCACACATCGTAACTGCGCTTTGCAAGCAAACAGATCACCTTATTGTGCGTGCTAATCCTTGATGATCGTTTTTTTGTTAATATATTTCATTAGTGTGCCATATATATATTTTATATAAATCTATATTTCCAGTTGATCGGAGACCACCTTCAACTCCGTCCGAATCCAGCAGTCTTTGAACTGGCTAAGAAATTTAATTTGGAAATTTCGTTGTTTGAACGATTAATAAAAAACCAAATGGAATACTACCAGCTGAAGCAGCAACATCGAATGCGACCGTGTATTTCATCACTACTGGTGCCGCACATATACAAGCAATTGCTCGATCATCCTTCCGTAGAAAAGTACGAAGATGTAAAAGGTATAGATGCGCAAATTTTACATTTTTCACCCAAAATTGTACATATATTGATTTTTATTTTACAGGCATTTCCAAGAATATGTTTTTCATAAATCATTGCAAAAACGAAGCGTCCATGCAAGAAACTCGTAGTCACCTGAATGTCCACGAGGCCGAATTTATCGTTGAGCTCTGTCGGTATACAATTCTCCAAGGATACGAGACATCCCAAGTAACTATACTAACGACATACTCTGGTCAATTACATGAAATTCGAAAGCTGATGCGTGCTCAACACTTACTGCGAGGTATTCGGGCGGCCGTCGTAGACAATTATCAAGGAGAAGAGTGCGATATTATTTTGTTGTCTTTTGTTCGGAGCAACGAAGAAGGTAACATTGGATTTTTAAAGGATTCGCATCGAGTCAATGTTGCTCTCTCTCGAGCACGAAAAGGACTTTATTGTATCGGCAACTTTGATTGTTTGGCCGAGAAAAGTTCACTATGGAAAAAACTGTTGACAGATTTGACAACACAAGATGCGATCGGCAATGCATTGGAAATCTACTGCCAAAATCATACCGACTACAAGAATTTGGTGAATTCTAAAAAGGATTTCGATGCGGTACCAGAAGGCGGTTGCAAGCTACCGTGCGGTTATCGTTTGCCCTGTGGTCATTCTTGTGCAAGCGTATGCCACATTATTGACGTAGAACACATCGATAAATACAAAATTTGTCACAAAGATTGCGACAAAATCATTTGTGAACGAGATCACCGATGCCAGAAAAAATGCCACTACGGAAAAGAATGTGGAGCATGCAGCAAAATGGTTGAAAAGTTGCGAGTTGAATGTCAACACTTGGTTCGAGTTTCATGTTCGAGTGATCCATCATTGGCTCATTGTTTCAATCCATGTCAAAAGTCCCGCATTTGTGGTCATAAGTGTAAGAGTCTTTGCGGCGTATTCTGTGAGTCAACACCTTGCAAAGAATTGGTACAGCAAAAGTCCCCATGTGGGCACACAGTAACCATCAAGTGCTGTGATGCCAATATTAGTTCCAGATTATTGAATGCATGCACTTCACCATGCGGAGTCGAATTGATGTGTGGCCATTTGTGCAGAGGTTCCTGTGGTCGATGCAAATTCGGAAGACTACACATAAGGTATATAGTTTTGCACGCATGGAATCTCTTTCAGATTTAATATTTCGATTTCATTTTAGTTGCCAGAAGAAATGTACCAGCATATTGATTTGCGGTCATCCATGTCCAGACAACTGTTCCGTCGACTGCGCACCATGTAGACAAAAATGTACCAATAAATGTGTGCATTCACAGTGTGCGTTCCGTTGCGGAGATCCATGTCCACCGGTAAATTGATGGATTCAATGCAAATAATGATAACAAATAATTGCCATCATTTTTTTTTCTCGATTTTTAGTGTATGGAAAAGTGCAATTGGCGTTGCGAACACTTGCAATGTTCTAAGCTCTGCTCTGAACCATGTGATCGCGAATTATGCGAACATCCAAATACGAAATTGATTAGAAAATGCCAACATCAGTCAATTGGCGTTTGCGGTGAGAAAATACCACGATTGTGCCGAATTTGCGACAAAGATGAAGTTGAAGAAATATTTTTTGGAGACGAAGATGAAGAAGATGCTCGATTCATTGAATTAGAAGATTGCAAACATGTCATCGAAGTAAAAGGATTGATTCTTTGGATGAAAGCAGAGCCCGAATCAGTCGAAACCAATTCAAATAACAACAACAACAACAACCAAAACAGCATTCAACTTAAGAAGTGTCCCAAATGCAAAACTATTATCCGTAACACCAAATCCCTGAACACTTTTATTCAGGCTAGTCTGAGAGATATTGCCGCCGTGAAGCTCAAGACATGTGGTGACCGAATGTTAAACATCATTACTCAACATACTTTATTTGAACGAGTTGAGCACATTTTGAAGGAAGAAAAATTTGGCGAAAAGTTACACGCAACGATGCGCTTTATTTACCAAGAAATTCAAAATAAAACGAAATTAAAAGAACACGAGTTTGCAAAACCAAAACAAACGTTGGTAGAGCTCGAAAACAAATTTGATTTGGTCGAAAGACTTAAAAGGATTGCTTTGGCGTTCGAAGGAAGACAAAAATTGCAACAAAATATCACCACCGAAGTGATTGAGAAATTCGAAAGACGCCTGCAAATGGTTGCATCATTTATAAGGGAATTCAAAAATTGCAATCAGCAACGTGCTGACGTGACAACTGAATTAACAATGCTTGAATTGATGAGTGATGTGATTATTAAGGCAAGTACTCAACCATTTAATGACACGGGGAAAAAATTGTTGGAAGATGCATTTGAGTTCGCCAATAAATATGGCACTGCCACGGAAAGTGTTCGAAAAGAATTTAGAGAGATGGTGCGTGAGGCGAGCAAACATTTTTCCGGTATTGGAATTTCGGTGGAAGAAAAGGAAATGATTTTAAAAGCAATGGGTCTCTCACGTGGACATTGGTACAAGTGTCAGAATGGTCATGTCTATGCTATTGGTGAGTGCGGTGGTGCCATGCAGAGAAGCAAATGCCCTGAATGTGGACAGGGAATTGGTGGCACAAGTCACACGTTGGATAGAGGTAATGCTGTAGCTACCGAAATGGATGGCGCAATACGTCCCGCGTGGCCTCAATAAACTAACGGAGACATTTTTGATGACTCCTATTAGTTAAATGATGATTCAACCATTTATATTTTGTTGCTACTTATTACGTTCGTTCCCAAATTATTAATTTTGGTTTTGATCAAAATCGTAATTAATTATATTATGTAGCATTTTTTAAAAACATTTTCCATTTTTTCTTTATTTTTCATTCAATAAAGTTAAGTTACAATGCATTCCACGATGATATTTTTTTTGATAAACAAAGCTGTGTCATAATCCAAGAAACATCATTCTGTAGTAAGTATATGCTGAGTCAGACAAAAATACAAACACTTTTATAATAGTACCAAAGTAATGTGCGAATTGAGAAAACATTTACTAATCAAATTTTTCGTTTTTTTATTGAAAACTCTGAACTTTACAATCTTTTTTTTTCTTTCTTTTGGTTTTTTATTTTTTAAATCTTTTTAATGATGCAACAGTTTCAAACAAAAACTAAATTATACTTTATTTGTGGGAAAAAAGCAAAAATTTAAGAAAATCTTTGAGATTACCGTGAAAATAGTACTGGATCCGTGTTGTAATTAAAGACTGTCACCAAAAACACACATTGTTTGCTTTTTCGATAATTTAAAGGTTTTATTTTCTTGAATTTCTTTATATCAACAATGATAATATTACCTATAAAGTATGCACAATGACCTCTATCATTTAGATGTTATAAAATGTCTTTGCTCTGAATTATAATAATATATTTATTGATTAAAATCGAATGTCTTTTCCGTTTAAGAGAAACACAACACCTAATTTGCCGCTAGGCGTAATTTTTCATTCTTTCGTGAAAACAATAAGTGAAATTCAAATGTGGCTAAAAAAAAGTTGTACATCCATGACAAACATTTGCTATTTTCAATCATCATCTAATTTATTTTCTATTTTAAATATCACTTGGCCGCCCCAATGCCAGCACATAATCATATTTACAAATGTGTGAAATAGCTCAGATAAGACTATGAAATCGAGCTGAAATTCCAATAAATTATATTATTTTCGCACTATTCCATTTCCACAGTAGTATATGCTATGCACAGTAAATTTTTTTCTTCCTTTTTTTACCTACAAATATTTATAGATTATCTCTGTCTTTCTTTAAAAAAATATTTGCACTCTAACACTTTTTTTAATTTTGTCTATTGGATGCAAACATCTTATTATATACACATTTCAGACCACAAAGGAAATGGGTTCGTTCACCTATTTTCTTTTGTAATATTCAATACAGTTCTGCTAAAATAAATGTCAGATTGAGGAGTCTCTATTTGATTGCATGCCCTCTTTCCCACTTCATTCTTGTCCAAATCCTTCGGTCTCTTCGATGGCATAGTTTAGTTTTTCAACTAGTTGATCATAACTTTTGTACGGTGGTAAATCAAGACGATTGAAACATGTGTGCGACCGTGGTAACCATGTATCTTTACCAACTTTTTCGATGCAGAAACGCTGCGGACCATTTGAGCCCATCAATTCCTTTAGAGAAATACAAGCAAATATGTCGTTTTATATTTTGAGTATATTTCAAGATATTTTCAGCAAAAAACGTATTTTTTTATGAATGTACTTACAGCGAAACCACCAACAGGTACACGACATGTTCCCGTTACGAATTGTAAGAGTCGGGTTCTCTTTTCATTGTCTGATTCTCGCACGAACTAGACGCATAAAGAAAAGCAATTAATTGTATTAATTTTTGAATTGCAGTGGTATGACCATTAAGATTTTTTTGGCCAATTGAAAGCTCACCTGCCAGAACCATGCAACCTGTTTGCTGTTACGATTATAATGGCGATAAATGGTGTTCCGTTGCCAATCTTCAATGTCAATTTCCTGCATGCCACACAACATCAACTCCAATTCACGTTCATCAAAGTATTTCAGCCATTCTAATGGAACGACCTCATTGAATCCTTCTAAAAATGTTCGTGTTTGTTGCTCGATTCCTCTGTTTTTTTTTTTTTTTTCAAATAAAAAAATGAACATTTTAAAAACTTGCTTTCAAAATTAGAAAAAAAAAATAACTAACCTTGTCATTCGCCATTCTGTCATCAAACCAATGTACTCCTCTTTATTTTCTTCAGTTACACGCAATGAGTCGCCACCTTCTTTCAGTTCATGATGTAAAATTTGACCAAGCACTTCGAAATCAACACTAAACCATAGCTCCAAACCACATTCATCAATATTATTGTCTCTCACCCAAATGAGCGAGTTATAGAATTCTGGATCAATTGTTTCAATGTCCTTTGTCGTGAGTTTTTTGTTTAGCATACGCTTGTAGAATGGCATCGTAAAGCCCGAATAGATGAATTTCGAATGGAACAATGCAATCGCTATGAATCGTCCGATAAATTTGAAGTACTGCAGATGATCTGGGTTCACATAGCTAGCTGGATTTATTTGTAGACTGTAATTGTTTTTATTGGCATATTCGAAGAGACAATACATTGGATTCAGCACTTCGTGAGACAATAAGAAAAACCATTCACGTGAGACGCCTCCATAATCGAGCCCCTCTTCACCACGCTACGAGAGAAACGAAAAAAATATTATGTTAATATGTTGATTCATAATCGGATTGGATTGGTCAGATAAAAAATATACTCACGAATATGATGTAAAGTCGACGACGTAGCTCATAGGCTGGCAATCGCATTATCTGATGATATGAATCTTCAAACAGCGTTTGACGGGTCACGGTAATTTTTATGTGAGATGGCAACGCATTGCTTTGACACAAATAACGGAATTGACTAAGTTTCCATCGGAATGAACGTTCATATGCACGTGGAACACCATATACACCTTTGACACCTTTTTGTACACCAGGTCGTGGATCTTCGAACTATGGTTCAAAACAACAAATGAATGAACATTAAAATTTCACTTGTTTATCAATGAGTTTTCAAAAATACACAATCATACCGTTGTTGTTCGTGTGTTATGATCGACAAAGAAGCGTTCACCAGTTGCTGTGTAACGAATTTCAAATCCTGGTGGCAATGGTCCCTCATTCATTAAACTAACCTCCTGCAATGCGTAAATAAAAGTTTTCTATGAGGAACATTTTAATTTTACAATTTTTATTTTTATTACTTGTCCTTGGGTGCGTGGATCTTCCCATTGTGTGGTTCGATTTTTATGATTCACGAAATATACTCGGTTGTCCGGCTGAACTCTTCGTTCCCAACCTATCCAATGAAAATCAATTTACGGAAATTCCATAAACATTAAAATAAACAAATCGAAATTAAATACCATCTGGCAATGGGCCCAAGCCATCATCGTCGTCTGGTGCGGTAGAGCCACCACTCGGCGCAGTTTGTGTTTGATATAAAAATCGTTGATTTCCCTGCGATACAACGTGTGATCGTTGATTTTGCCATGTTGCAAAATGCATCAAACGTTCACTGTTTGGCCGTTGCCATGATGTTGTACGAGTATTATGATCTGAAAGCAAATAATAAATTATTGGTTAAAAAAATGATGCGTTATTTATTTGTCGAGATATTGTTTGCGATACACTCACCTACGTAATAGACTCTTCCACGTTGATCACGCCGAATTTCCCAACCTGGTGGCAATGGAGTTGGTTTTTCCCAGTAGCTATAAACATTTGAAAACATTCAGTCAATCCATTCAATTACATTTAATTTAATCGATGAGTTCGTTAGTATAATTATGTAAGAATACTCACGTGCTACGTGTATTGTGGTCTACGTAATAACGTCTGCCATATTGGTCGAGTCGCACCTCCCAACCTCCAGGCAACTGCTCTTCGTCAGTTGACGTTTGAACTTGTAATTGTTGATCGCCGGCATTTAAATTGGGTGCCGGTGCAACACCATTTTGTTGAGGACTGACTGGTTGATTAGATTGATTTGACGGTGACACTGATTCGGAATTTGAAGTCAATGGAGTTTGGGGCACATTTGGATGCTATATGTTGAAAAAAAAAGCGATTGAAAACCTTCAAATAAATTGAAAACTACAGCATTTTTGATTTACCACAAAATTTCGTTGCATTGATGTACTTCCGTTACATGGCACTATTGTTTGTGATGGATCCCAATTTAAGCCACCACCAGCACCAGCACTACTGCTTCGAATGGCACTTGGTCCACAAGAAACATTTGTAATACCAAGATTTCCCACACTACGGCTGTGTTGTTGTCCATCGGGAAATTCATTGTGACGTCGATTATTCGGGTCATTTGGCGTCAACCGTGTATTTCTCAAGTCATTTATACTTCGTGCACCGCCCAACATAAATGAACCGTCGGCACTTAACGATGGCCCAGCAATTGGATGCCCGTTTGATGTCGCTGGCATATTTGAATTATTTGTCCGCAAACGCATACGTGCTCGTATCCCACCGCATAAAATGCTGCTGCGTCCATTCATGCATGCATTTGTATCTGTTGAACAATTGCTGGTATTGCTTGGAGTTGCAGTGGAAGTGATTGTCATGCCATTGCTAACATTGTTTGTCGAATGAACTGATGATATCGCTGGCACATTTTCGATTTTCAATCCATTTAATACTACAACAAGTTCACCGCTTTTTGTTCGGCCCTCTGGTTTTAACGATCCCAATAGATCCATAACTAATTCTAAATTATCACAACGTCCATGATAATGTTCTAAAATTTGTGCCAAATGCACAATACGTTCGCCTAACAATGAATCCTTTAAAAAACTCGATCGATCCAATACACGAAATGTAATTTCGGACGATTGTGTAACACAAACTGTAAATGTTTCATTCCAGTTTGGTAAATATGTGTGTTTGATGATGTCAGTTTTTCGTGGACTATTGTTATCAATGGATATTTCAACATATGGGTTTGGTTTGAAGATGCCGTTATTTCTTAGCGACGCTTTTTCAACTTTCCATTTGGTAAATTGAGAATAAAAGGAAAAACAAAAACAAAAAAGATAAACAAAGAGAATTAGTTGATTGTTTGTTATAGCATGCAAGCGCCACAACTCACTTGTTATGTTCAACTGATGATATCCTTGATTGTTTCTATTTACATTTTCGGCCATGTTCACACAGATTTGTTATGGTTGGTTGCTGTTGATTTTGCACCGTTTGGCCAAATTTGTTTGCTACTTCGAATGTATGGAATCGTTGTTTGTGTTTTGCTTTATGGTTGTTGTTGTTGTATTTTTTGATGCTGTTATCGCTTCCACTACATTCGTTGTCGATATCATTTGTAGTTTGCACACACGCACACTCTTATTTGCTTACCGTACTTACTTATTGTGATTTGGGAGCCAAACTACCAAATGAACGAAACAATTTCAATCAATTTACTTATTAAATTTGTTTATTCGAACACGCTTGGTTCCAATCAATGAACTGAATCATTTGCTTAATATAGTGAACATTCCATGGTGACACAATACTTACATGCTGTTTGCTCTTTGTGTAAACTACTCAATCATATGCATCGATAAGCGCTCATTTGGTTTTTTCGGAATATTAATTTTCTGATATCGTTTAACAACGTTTTTGCATGCCTAAAACGATGGGAAAAACAACAGTTAATTCTCATTTGAATTCATTTTTCATCGCAAATATTTAAAAAAAAATGCTCATGTGATTATACTGCGTATTAAATTTATGGCATTTTTACCGTTGTGAAGACCACTATTAAAAAAAACAATAGTTCGTAATATTTTGTGGCTGACAAATGTTCTAGACATAAATTTGACCTCGAAAGCCCTTATACTTGACTTTCAAAAAAATCTATTTAAGGACTACGACCGTATTATGAGCGCATATGCGTTTGAAACAAAAAAATTGTGTGTTCAATACATTCCAACCGTATGTGTCACTTTTTTTTACGATGAACACAAAACAATACAAAAAAAATAGATTCGTGATGATTATAGCCACGGATGCATATGAATTCAAATTCATTCGTATTAGTTGGATATTGTTTTTGGTTTCAATAGAACATTTCGACGACGACGACAGCAAAATGCTGTTAGCTTTCATAGGATATTCATGAGTGTCATTAATAATTTACTGAAAATGTAATGTCTGAAAACTTCCAATTTGATTTCATTTGAGCACACAACAAGCTGATGCCAATTGGACTTTTAATTCCCAAATGTATAATTTTCTGCACGATACATTTCCTATCAAACACACACACACACCAAATCACAAATTTTTTTGCGTGCCTAATGGAAAGCCAAACTAGGCCGAATCGAGAGGGTCACAAAACATTTTTTTTTTTAATTGAAAAATACACAATTATGTTTCAAATACCATCACAACAAACACAAAAAACACTGACATTTCAACGAATGAATTCAGTTGAGCCAGCAAAACTTTCTTGTTAATATATACGCGTCATTGAGATTTTTTTCTCATGTTTGTCCCTTTTCACTCGAATTTATAATTATTTACAAAATATTCACGTACAAAATGAAATAATTGACTTAGAATTTGATACAAATATATCGCTGACTTTATTAGCAGAGCAAGAAAACAACAGAAGACAAAACGAACATAGTTTCACTTACATTTAATTGCAGTTATCATGTTTGAACAATATTTTTTTTACGTTCACGTCTTTTTTTGTACAGCGACAATATTATTGCACTTGTCGATATCGCAAAAATATATTTATAGACAACACACAATTTACAATTTACTGATTCATTTCATTAAATAAATTTCTTCCACTTTAATCGATGTGTATTTATTTTTTCTTCTTCTCTCTATCTCTTTTCTCCCCCACTTGATCTATGGTATTGGGTTTTGGTTTGACATGTCTTTTCTTGTTATCTGCTTTATTGTGAACCGTAAAAATTGCTTTTGTTCGTGGCTACAAGACAACTTTTTTTTCAAAACAACAACCACTGAAAAGCTGCTTTTTTCCAGGCTCACCAATCAAAACACGAAAAAAACAATAAAATTAAGTATACAAATCAAACAGCAAGGCAAAAAAGAACAAAAAATTCTTGAATTTCTGTATGTTCGGTGATTCCCACGATATATAAAAATCAACTTATTATTATTGTACGCGAATTGCAATCATTTGACTGTCGTCATTTCAATATAGCTTCAAACTCATTCAGTTAACGTGAACGCACACTCATAACGCAGTGAATAAACCAACTCACTGCATTGGTCTACATTCATTTCATACGTATGGTGTCGTTCACATTCAAACACTGTCACATGACTGTGTGTAAAGTGACGCACAAACAAATTCAACGTATTTGGCGCTCTATGTGTAGACGTCAACTAAAGCAACCAAGCATTAGAGAATCAAAACGTTCAGCCATATTGAAAGAGTCTCTCGTCGAGTTACAACGTATAAGTAAGTTTTGTGTGAATAAATCATTTGAAAATATCTAAATTTAATCAAGCCATCGGAATTCCATTAATATTGAAAAATACTCAACATTTTCTTGTGTTTTCGGAATAGTTGTTATTTTTTATGTGATTTCAATAATTTTTTAAAGAAATTCACCGGCATTTACTAAACCGGCATCACTGAAGCGTAGAGTTTTTTTCTTGGAATTTTAATTTGTGTTTGAACATTTGATTTGAATCAATGTTTGGTTTGGAAATTGCAAGAAAAAAACAAATTTCTTTTAATTTCCGAACAAATTATTAATTGAACGTACTGTTTTGATCGTATTTTAATATCGAATGATTTATTGTTGTATTTTTTTTGTGGTGATAAAAAGGTGAACAAAACAGTAAACCAAACATTAAAGATGGCCGACAACGATGATCTTTTGGATTATGAAGATGAAGAGCAAACCGAACAAGTTGTTGCGGAGACAACTGAAGCACCGAAAAAAGATGTGAAAGGTACTTATGTATCAATTCACAGTTCGGGCTTTCGTGATTTTCTCTTGAAACCAGAAATTCTTCGTGCAATCGCCGACTGTGGTTTTGAACATCCATCTGAAGGTTAGTTCGTTTGTAAGCGTCACACGAATAATGCGTATACGAGTGAATTGATGCGATTCAAATGAAACAAATGGGGAAAAAATCGGATTCTAATATTTTTTTGTGAATTTTGTGTTTTATTTATTCAGTTCAACACGAATGTATTCCCCAAGCTGTTCTTGGAATGGACATTTTGTGCCAAGCCAAATCAGGTAAGGTTGCCGTAGAAACAAATGTGCTGTTGTTGTTGTTTTTTTAACAAATGCTATTTGTATTGGTTTATTTCAGGTATGGGCAAAACTGCTGTGTTCGTTTTGGCTACTTTGCAACAATTGGAACCAACGGAAAATCATACTTATGTATTGGTCATGTGCCATACTCGTGAGTTGGCTTTCCAAATTAGCAAAGAGTATGAGCGTTTCTCAAAGTATATGCCAGCATTGAAAGTTGGCGTATTCTTCGGTGGTTTACCAATTCAAAAAGACGAAGAGACTCTGAAGACGATGACACCACACATCGTTGTTGGTACGCCTGGTCGAATTTTGGCTCTTATTCGCAACAAGAAACTCAACTTCAAGCACTTGAAACATTTTATTTTGGATGAATGTGACAAAATGTTGGAACAATTGGGTAAGTCAAACCGTAAACAAATAAAAAAATTTAACCAATAAATAAGAACAATTACAATGATGATAAGCCACAGATAGGGACATATGAATTATTTAATGATTCGTTATCTTAAACATTTTTTGTTATTCTGATAACTTTCTGTGTTCAATTCTATTGTTATCTATTTGTCATTTTCTAGAATATTTATCTTTCTTTTTTTCTCCAACAAAATAGATATGCGGCGCGACGTACAAGAAATTTTCCGCAATACTCCGCACGGAAAACAAGTCATGATGTTTTCGGCTACATTAAGCAAAGAAATTCGCCCCGTCTGCAAGAAATTCATGCAAGATGTAATTATAAATTAAAAAATTAAACACGCGAACGGTTTTAATCTCACGCGGTCTACTAAGTCAGAGAATCCGATTTGGTGTTGTTGTATGCTGAAAGTGTTATCGAAAATGAAAACGGGGGTCGGTTGGAAATTCGGACGCGTCAAAATCAAACAGAAATTAGAATAACAAAACAAACATAATATCGCGTTATTCGTAAATATAACCCAATATAATCAATATTTTATTCATCAAATAATTCTGACTGCACAAAATACGCGCCTCATACCAATTTTCGTCACTCGAATTTTTAAAAACCACGATCATTTAACGTTTTGATAAAAACACACGGAATATCGGACGCTCACTCGGACGGAAGCGCCCGATCGCAGTGAAGCGAATGAACATCCCAGATCAACGGTCTGAACTCAGCGCGCACATACACGCTCAACAAATCACTTCTTTCCATGTGAGTCATATCCCCTCTCATCTCTCGAGTCCATGCGTTCTAACCGGCCAACCAGAGTTGTGTTCATGGGGTAAAATTTGATATGCGCAAAAAAATTCAACTACCGAATCCAAACGGTTTTCTCGTCACCGCAGTGTTCAACAGCCTGATTTCGTGGATTTCACCGTCGCTGATCCATCTCTAACCAATTATGGTTTGAAGTAATTGGAAAAAATTGACCATTTCCTTTTTTCTCTTTTTCTTTTTCGGTTTATGTTTTCCCTACCTCCAATAATAATTAGCCAATGGAAGTCTACGTCGATGATGAGACCAAATTGACTTTACACGGTTTGCAGCAGCACTATGTCAAATTGAAGGAGAACGAAAAGAACAAGAAGCTATTTGAATTGTTGGACGTACTAGAATTCAATCAAGTGGTGATTTTCGTGAAATCGGTACAACGTTGCATGGCATTGGCACAATTGTTGACCGAGCAGAATTTCCCAGCCATCGGAATTCATCGTGGCATGGGCCAAGAAGAGAGATTGTCACGTTATCAGCAATTCAAAGATTTTCAGAAGGTAAATATTAGACCGTTTTACTGATTTTCATTTGAAGAAAGTCTATTTAAGTTTAATTATAACGATTTTTAATGGTTCGTTTTTTTTTTGCAGCGGATCTTGGTTGCAACCAATTTATTCGGTCGGGGTATGGATATTGAGCGAGTCAATATTGTCTTCAATTACGATATGCCAGAGGATTCCGACACCTACTTGCATCGTGTAGCTCGTGCTGGGCGATTCGGTACCAAAGGATTAGCCATCACCTTCGTTTCAGATGAGTAAGTTGGACGACAATGAGGAAGAATATTTTTCATTTTCCTTCCGATCACATTAAGCTAATTTTCCAAATTTTTTAATCGTTTTGAATAGGGGCGATGCCAAGATTTTGAATGAAGTTCAAGATCGTTTCGATGTCAACATCACGGAATTGCCTGATGAAATCGATCTCTCATCGTACAGTGAGTATTCCGTCTTATCAAAACTCATCAATTTAATAGCAAATCATTGAATCTATTTGTTTTTATGCGTTAATTTTTTTTCAGTCGAAGGACGATAAATCATAAACTGTATTTGGTTAGAATTAAGAGGTGTTTCTCTCCTCAAGAGAACGTTTAAGAATATCTAATTTAAGAGACACAGAACATACATTCAACATAAGAAAAACCTTCCGTAAATTGGACCGTTTCATGAAGACTATATTTTAAAAAAACATGTACTTTCCACTACATGAGAACTAAACTCATCAGATAAACTAACGTAAGTGCTCATAAGACTATCATCGAATTACATCTTTCATTTATTCGATCATTTTATGATTTTTTTTCTTCTAATCTCCATTTTTTGATGTTTTTTTACAGATGTGCTTAGTTAACGGCAATTCTTTTTTAACGTTCTAATCTATCGCAGTAATCTGATTTTAAATTTAGACTATCAAATTCCATAATAATTTCCTTTTTGCATAACAACAACAAACAAAATCATAGCAATTGAATGAGTAATAAACAAGAGTAACAAACAAAGATCTTTTTTAATTGAGATAATTTCTGAAGTGTTGATAATTCTTTAATAAAATATATACAAATTGCAACAACAAAAAATCATTTAAAATTATTCTATGTATTGGTCTAACTTCTTTTGTTCAAACCTGACCTATCTAACCAGCTATCAAGTTCAACGAAATTACAGGCAGTTGTCAACATGAGTAAGTTTTAAATGATAAAAATTCCGATTACCTTTTAATTTCAGCGATTATTATGAGAAGAAATCTTTTACATTAAAAAAGAATCTGGTTTTTGTTTAAGAGGTAAAATGAAACACTATGAATTTTAATTCATGCAAGAAAAACGCTTCAATTTCCATTTTATGGATTTCTGTTATATTTGATTCTTAAGATAATATTGAATATTGTAAAAAAGATTAACATTAAGATTTCTTAATTAGCCTATATTTGGAATAGAAAATGCTCATTTTGGTAGTTGATAAACTCCAGCAGTAAAAACGAGCGCATGTTCTCGAACTTTGAGCTGCAGGAAATTTTTTAGTTCTTCCATGGAAAATTCCACGCCGGGTCCATGCGATGCGAACATTTTTAACATTTGGTGGATTCGTTCCAACGGCATTGAATTTAAATTTGTTAACATGCCAACAATATACGACCAGAACACTTGCAATTCCTCCTCTCGCTGATCATTCGCTGATGCCATTGCACTCTCATTCTCATCATCATCCACATGTTCTGAATTTTGATGGAAAGAAAAGATTTCATTTAGCTTTCGTATAATGGAGAAAAACAATAATAGAAAATACCTTCATCTTGTCGTGCACGCTGTTCAATATTTTCAATCAATGTGAAGTTGTCATTGGACGTTTCTTCAATTAACCCCTGTGCTTGCCAGTATGCAATCTTCTTACGCACTACAGATGCGGCCACTTGAATCTTTTGACTTAAATCTTCTAATCGCCATGAACCTAGAGTGAAATGGTTTAAATACACCTTCAATTATAGAAAAAATACTATTCATGTCAAGCAATTTGTAATTTACTTTGATTTTGAAATTCATAAATGATCACTGCGTGGATGGGTGATACGGATAAATCCAATTTCCTATTTCCTACTTCAATTTCAAGCTCAACACGACCGATGAATGGACGCCAAGATAACGTGCGATTCCCTTTGTATGCTTCATACGACTTTGTATAGCAATCAAACACCTTCTTCAACTCTTCTGGCAGCTCAATTGTGTCATTCTTGAACGGTGGCCAGAATTGTGAAGATAATATCAACGATGATAATTTGAACATTTCCACTGGAATAAAACAAATTCGATTAAAACGTTCATCATTATTTCCTACATTAAAGGTTTTACCAACCATTTTCAGGTGACTCAATCGTCGTTTGAATATGTGTATTGATTCTCTTAGAATCCGTAATATCCTTTAACATTACTTGGCATGTGTGCAACATTGTTTCATCAAAACGTAACTTTAGCAATTCCAAGTTGCGAATCTCACGATCTGGATTGAAATCGAGCTGTGACAGCAGTCTATCGGCAAGCAAACTACGATACTCATTTACAAATACTTCTTTACTGCCATAAATGTCCACCACCATTGATATAATATCGGCCGATCGACTGGTTGGTTTTTGATTTTCTGAAAAAAAGAAAGAAGATTTTTCACCGAATTTTCTATTGACGTTTAAAGTCATTGTGTGACAAGCATGAACATACTGGTACTTGCATCAATGGGATCTGGCATCCAATTTTCCCAATCATCATTTTGACTTGATAGATTTTCCACATACGCCTCACTTTTGGCTAATTCTTCGGCCAAATCGGTTGGTCCATCGTCGGTGAGTGCCGATGCAACACAACGGACTGTATCTTGTCGTGATCGCATATACTGTTTTACTGGTTCGGTTATCGTTTCTAATAAAACTCCCGTACTATCCAAGTGACGTATGGTTTTTATTGCTGCAACGTATCCGGTTAAAATATCTCTGGTATTCACACCAGGATGCAAAAGTCGTTTTTCCAATACATCTTTCAATGATTTTACTAGATATACACGCAAATCAATCTTTTCCAAACATATTTTCAAATCATCAATTGCCGGCTTTGAGTCGGGAAAATCTAAAAATTAGAAATAAATAATTGAAAGATAAACGTTTCTTCAGACTGAACTATGACAATATAAATTTAGCATACCTATAATGACGGTGAAAAACTGATCAATTATGATATGTGCATATGTTTCGTATAAGTAATATTCAAGCTTAATTCGAAACTCTTTCAACACATCTCGAACACGTGCATTATGCGCTTCGATTTTTAGTGATCCTTGATTGTAGATTCGTGTTAACCAATTGATAACCACAGTATCGAGCCACTGAAATCACAAAACGTTTGATTTTACGACTGAGTCAATGAGATTTCGAGCATACGTCCTCAAGGGTAAAATTTAATGGGGGGTAATTGAAAAAACTCGAGAGGGCTAAGCAAAAAAGTGAAGTGTATTTTGTGAAAAGTGTACTTTTTTCGTTTTTTTTTTTTGCTCTTTACTTTTTTGGCGAAAATCCCTACCAAATCGAAAAAAAATTTCGCGAAAAAACCCAGCAATTTCAAAGATTTTCTTCCATTTCTAAAGTTGTTAGGCAAAAAAAAATTCGAGATACTTTACCTGTAGCAAAGCCTCGACGTGTGATGTGTCTAAGATTCCTTTGCACGTGTCTTGTACATGGGTATCGATTCGTTCTTGTATCAAATTTGTCAGTGTGAAGCCGGCCAGTCGATCAAGCAAATCCATTTCGAATAAATACTGATTGGTCTTGTTAAAACCTACAACTAACTCTTGACAACGGCAATTATCACTTTCTTTATTACAACCATTACATTTAACCTCGTCCATTATCTCAACATCTAATAAAAAAAAAATTATTTAATGAAATTAATGAGCAAAAGTTGCATGAAATGAATTGAATTCAATCAAAACTTACCAGTATCTTGATGACTATTTGCGAATACAGTGAATGAAACATGATAGAATGAATGAACGATTTTTGTAAAATTGGCCGGCAATTGTGACAGTAAATCAATTTTTAGCATATTTTTAAACACGTCCAATTCATGCCGATCACGATAAACTGGATTATTGAATTGACATGATGTTTTCATTGGACGAACACGATCTAAAATCCGTTGGAACTTCTGATACTCTTGATGTAATTCGTAAATGCTCAATTGGAATTGATAGAAACCATTTTCAGTGTCATTGTCAGAACTGAAATATTTCCAAAACTTTGGCACAATTTGATGGCGCAACACATAATCAATGTTCAACCAAATTGTTTCGTAAATATTTTCAGCAATATTCAATCGAACCCATTCATCAATGATAAATCTCAAATCAGAGTCTGATACATCGCTTGATTCCTGCAACTGAAAAAAAATTGAAACACCAAATTAATCACAACAAATATCATTGCAATCGGAATTCAATGTATCTTACGCTGTTTTCCAGTATTGGAAACACTTTTACTGATCGCTCCCAAATATACTCCAAATTTGCCATTGAAACGTTTAAAATTGTTGTTATAAGAAGCAACTATATTTGTTTTGTGTGTGAATACTTCAACTGACATTTAAACCAAGACACTTTTTTCTAAAAAAGAGTGCGTTCAATGTGTGTATTGATAAAAATTGTTTGAGGTTATGTTCAACATTGACAAAAAAAGAGGCAACATTCGAATTTTAAACCAAACGACTGAATCAACTGGAAATGCTAGGATTTAAAAGAATTTTGTCATCGAACAAAAGTACCAACATGTTTTGGATTTATTTTACCTTCTTTATTCTTCATTTAGGGCAATCTGAAAAAAAGTTTCTCTCGGCTGAAACTAAAAACTTACTGCTATTTTTTTTAAAACGAAAAATGCTTTTTTTCTGTTTAGACATGATTTTTATTCAAAAATAAGTTCCTGAAAAAAAGTTTCCATTAAATTCGTATTATTTTTAATTTCTATCATAACCTTTTGATAAAGTTGTTGAATTAAAGCTATTTTTTACATGCCATGAGAACACTTTTGGTTTTGACCGAAAACAGCACTTTGATGAATAGAATACCTGAAACGAACATTTTGAAAATTCCATGAGGACCACTTCAAATATGTTTTTAAAAAAATATACTAAAAAATGTGAATCAGTTTAAATTTTAAGATAACTAATCATTGATTATTTCATGTGTCCCTATCTATGTTTATCATCATTGGAAAGACAATTTTAGTAAATGTATAATTGGCAAACAATTACCTTTAAAAATACGTTGATAGATACAGTAGTCACATCAGAGCTATTATCAGCACCGCAGATAGGCGAGCACGATTTTCTCTTATATTCAGGCGCGACCCTTGCAAAATTAAAATTCACAAATAATTTTGAAAATTGTCTTAAAATAAATGCCAGCACTTCTCCAAAAAGTGCCAATAACACCTCTGATTCACATCACTTAAGAACACTAGAAAAAGTTCATCATGAATCATTTACTCTTCCGAGCACACTTTCTGCAATGTAAAAACAAATTTGATGAATTAGATATGTTTTATTTTTTGTAAATAGCAAAAAAATACTTTTTTTAACTCAAAAAGTTCAGTTTAAATTTTAAGATAAATAATCATTGGGTATTTCATTTGTCCCTATCTAATTTTATCATCATTGATGACGTTTAAAGAAAAATAAAATAGCATTTAAACTCACCGAATTTATGATGGGATTACATACATTAGCAAAACGACAGATAACTTCTGTTCTTTGCTGAATTTTATGAAATTCAAATCACATCACCGAGCCAACAACTGAATCTGTAATGATGCATGAAAACGAGAAATTATTTTTGTTGATTTCGAATTTTGGTTCAAAAATCAGATGATTTAAAATGGAATCAGTTCAAATTTTAAGATAAATAATCATTTTGTTTCATTTGTCCCTATCTGTGAATGTCATCATGGTTTTAAAAAAAAACTCGTGTTTTGATGTAAAAATTACCTTTCAAAAATGTGATGTGACACTGAAGTTCCCATCGAAAAATTTATGATTTTTTGATGACAAACTCAAAAGTAATAATCTCAATTAAAATAATAGAAACAAAAAATTCGAATTTTATATCGATTGGAAATTAAAAGAAACGTGTAATTTTTTACGATTTCAATACATAAAATTAAAAGGCTAAGAAAAAACCTGTTGTTTAAGTAAATTGAAATTGAATTTCAAAAAATAATAATATTGAAATAACATAAAAAATAACAATTATTCTGAAAACACAAGAAAATTTTGAGTCTTTTTCCAAATTGAAGAATTTCCGATGGCTTGTTTAAAATGAGATATTTTTAAATAATTTATTCACACAAAACTTATTTGTACGCTTATATCAATCTATATAACTCAAAAAACGATGGCTTTAGTTGACGTATATGCAAAGAGCACCAAATACGTTGTACACACAGTCATGTGACAGTGTTTGAATGTGAACGACACCATACGTATGAAATGAATGTAGACCAATGTCAATCGAAAAATTATTTCGTTTATAAAACTAAAATTTGAGTCGAAGTATTTTAAAAAATCCAATGGTTCACTATTCGAATATTTTATTGGTGTCTTTTCTATAATTACATTTTCATAAACATATGTAATGATTTCATTATTGCCAATTTCGCAATTTATCAGCAAAAACTATATTGAAATTTCAATACTTCAATACTACAATAGTATTAATTCTTTGTTTTTTGAATTAGTAAAGATAAAATTTCCTATGCTCAATTTTATGAAAAATCTTTTGCTTGAAACATGAATACCTTTGTCACGGTAAAATACTGTAAAAAGTAAATTAACAAAATATTAAATTCAATTTGGTTTTTATAATATGGTTTGATTTTTTACTATTATTAAATAAAATTTCTCTTAACAATTCTTTATAATATCTGAATTCACTCATCATCAGTCAAAACGACGATTTCCGATTTTATATTTAAATATGCCTCGTTCAAATGTGATTTCTTGTGTAATTCCAAACGTGAACGTCGCGAAAATGTTTTTGAACATTGTACACAGCCGAATGCCCGTTGGCCCGAATGGATTTTTATGTGCTCTTTTAAATAGCTTTTCAGTAGAAATTGTTTTTGGCAAATGGAACATTGGAAGGGTTTGTTATTTGAATGAATTGGTGTATGTCGATTTAGGCTGCTCTTCGAAGTGAATGTCTTCGAGCACTTGGTGCACTGAAACAGTCGTGTTTCACGGCTATTTTGTTTTTCATGAATTGTCATGTGTATGGTTAAATCCTTTTTCGATGTAAAATGATGTGAACATAATTGACATTGTAATAATGTACTATGGGTGTTCATGTGTGAAATGTACTGTTGACGAATTGAGAATTCTATCGAGCAAATAACGCATCGAAAACATTTGGCCCGTGAATGATTTTGTTTATGGCGATTGAGGCGCGGTATACTTATAAAAGCTGATGGACATTCATCACATGTGTACATCATTTCATTATTTTTTTCCGATAAGTTTTCATTTTCATGATTTTTACTAATATGCATGCCTAGAAGTCGTTTTCGCTTAAAATTCTTTGTACACAAATGACAATGGTATGGAGTCTCATCCGAATGGGTAGTGGCATGGACTTTTAAATATGCTTTTGTCGCAAATCTTGTTAAGCATATGTTACACTGGAATGGTTTTTCTCCCGTATGTAATTTTTTATGTCGAACCAAACTGCCTTTAAAGGCAAATCGCATCGGACATTCTTCACAGGCATAAAGCTTTTCGCCGGTATCAATGCGGTTATAATACTCTGGCTGTGATCGCTTTCTGAACTTCTTGGAGCCAAATGAGTATTCCAGTCTTTGTGACCCATGTTTGCCTTTATCAAATGGTACACTGTACATGCTATTCTCTGCTATTCGAATATTACACTGACTTGCCACTTGTTGATTCTGCTTAAAATTGTTGGGAACATTTTCTTTGAATAAGAAACTATCGCTGATGTCAATGCTATCACTGAGAGTTTCGTTTAAATAAAATCCTTCCTCCAGGCGCATCATATCAATTGTTAGTAAATCGCCTGTCAATATGGCATCCTCATCGGTATCTTCCACACGCATCATATCAATTAGAGATATATCCTCTCTTACAGCATCCGAAAGAGCATCCGCTGAAGTAAGATCCACTTCTTCATCACCAATATAGAATTCCTGTGTATTATTCACGGCTGTAAATATGTTTTGTATTGGCATATCCAAGATTTCACCATTATTTACTTCACTTTCATCACCTCCCAAACCGAAACTAGGTTCGATTTTAACAGTTACAGTTTCTATTCTTTCCATAATGATCTCTGAAAATGTAAAGCAATTGGAATTTTCGTTATTTAAGAAATAACACAATAACTTATTTTGGTTTCAATGAAAATGGATCACAAAACAAAAATATACAGTGAAAATATTGCGTACTTGTATTGACAACCGGTTGTTTCTTTGAATTTGACATATCTGTCAAAGTTGAGCGAATGAAGGTTGGAATAATGTTAAATGATTTTTGGCGGTTGACTTGAATATAATTTATTAAATAAACATCGAAATTATCTTAATTAAAAATAATAGTAATAGAAGCATATGAATGCACAATGGGGTCTATGATTTAACTTTTTTATTTAACCTTTTTAAAAGGATAAATCTTTTTATCGCTGTGAGTTTGTCCATGATACTTTGCTTGTAATCACTCTCTGAACTTCATGGGACAGAATGTTTTTTATGTTTGTATGCCTCAATATGTCTTGACTCGGATCGCACCTCATACGTTTCCCATTTATATTAAATTCATGATTTATGTTGCGACTATGTTCGTGTGCTACAAAGTTTCTTTGTGCTTTAGAACACTTTACTGAATCAAAGGAATGAATTAAAGGAAAGTTATCAGGGAAGACAAAAATCAATAGTTTAATTAGAATGAAGTGAATTTAGTTTTGAATGTGTGACTTTACCAGATATTTCACTGCCCAGTTTATTCTTTACTGTTCGCAAACTATCAGTTTTGTCATTTTTAAATTCATCAGTATCTTCCACACACATTATATCAATTAGAGATATATCCTCTCCGACAGCATCTGCTGAAGTAATATCCACATCTTCATCAGAAACGTAAAATGTTTGTATATTATTCTCTACAGAAATACCATATCCCATTATTTCACAATTCTTTGTTTCATTTGCATCATTAATCAAACTAAAATCAGGCCACTTTTTACACATGATTTCTTCTTTTTTAACTTTGATGATTGTAGCTTCATTAATTGATTCCATAAAAATCGCTAAAAATATATGACAATTGGAATTTTCGTGATTTAAAAAAAATATTATATTTTAGCTTACTTGGTTTCGATTTTGATAAAAACGACTCACAACACAAAATAAAATCAAATATATAGGGAAAATAGTACTTATATTGACAACTGGCTGCGCTTTCTTTCAATTTGATATCTGAACGACAATGTCAAGTTTGAGCAAATAAGGTTAGGTCAATACATAATTTTAAATGATTTTTCGGCGGTAATTTAAATATAATTTATTAAAGAATCAAATTAATGCACAATGTGATTGCAACGGAACATAGCAACTTCCTGTATGATTTCAAATTTAAATAAAATTAAATAAACAGTTTTGTTTGGTTATTATTCTTATGGTTCCTTGTTTCGACAGTGAATTCGTCACGATAATCAGTTGCAAGTTTAAAATCGTTATTAATATGCAAATATGCTCCAAATGGACCTTGAATTAATGTAGAAATTTTGATCAAATTTAGCTGTAATCAAAACGAAAAAGATTTGTACCTATGAAAGGTTGCCACATCAACTCTTTGATACCATCGTCCATGTCATCAGTAAGCTCAGGAACACCATTTGTAGCGAATGATGTCCATAGTTCGATCAATTGCTGTGCGAATTTAGTATCTTTTTCATTTAATTTGGCTACATTAGGAGGATAGGGAAACAAATAAATGAGGTCATCTGAGTGTGAAACGCCGCCAGTAAAAGGATAGTGCGACACATCTGCTTCATATCCGAATCTATTTTCAATTTTCAATTTTTGTTCATTACTCTGTTGTTTTCCTTTCAATTTAAATTAATAGACTTTTTCATTTAGTTGAAGTATGTTTACCTTGTGTGCTCGCCTGCATAATCAAATGAATACACATATGTTTGATGAGGACTGATTCGCGCATTAATTTGTGCAAGTTTTAAAATGGGCGCTTTTAACATTGTCATTCCCAACATCTAAAACAGCATAGAATTATTATACGCTTTGTTGAATATATCATTTAAATACCAACATCAATAATTCCAGCAGCACAGACACCAAAATCACCCGATGATATTTGTTCTTTTGACCAGTAAGTAAGGGAGATTAACGCTTCAACTGTACCAGAATCATCATTGAGTCGGGCCATTTTGCAAAGTGCCTTCACCAAATCATTTGTCATGAAGTCATTGTCATCTAATTTATTTGTAGCAGCCAAAATATCGTAAACCACTGTATAAAAATTAAAGTAAAATCCACTGTTGATAAACTATGATAGGGATCATGTCAAACAAGTCCAGATAAATTGATCCAAATAAAAAGGAGATAAACGTGATAAAAATGTATGGTACCTGTTGCACCATAGGCTCCGTCATCTTTTGTCGCTCCAACGATAATTGGAATTGATTTATTATAAGTTAAAGCGAGGTTCTGTGGTGTGTCTGGCAGTAATTTGTTTGGTCCACCTACTAATAGTATATAAACAAAATAGATTATTTAAACTTGGGTATATGATCTTGATAAATTACTTGATAAAGATCTTCCACCAGATAAAATTCCGCCATTTATAAGATCAATTGTCTGTAAAAATTATTATTGTAATACCATTACAAAAAATAAATGAAAGATTTAAGGATAAACCTGATATTTATCAACAGCTTTCAATAAGTCGTACACATTCATGGTCATAAAGGCTCGATTAAGCGATGTTATTGATTGATTTGGATTTAATCCGGCTACTTGAGCAATATTTTTTGCATCTGTGAGAGGATCAAGCGTATATGCCCAATTCCCAAAAATTGAGCCAGATTGAATGATTGCTTTGTCAAACAGATTTTCTGGGACCGATGGACAAATAACCAGCGCCGAAACCATTGCGGCGCCGCTTGATTGACCAAATATTGTAATTTTATCTGGATTTCCGCCGAAATATTGAACATTTTCCTTTATAAATTTCAATGCCTGTATTGAGTCCATCAAGCCTGCATTGCCGGGAATTTCTTTGGAATTTGTTGATAAAAAACCCAAAGCGTCCAAACGGTATTGAACTACAATTAAAACAATATCTTTTTCCATCAAGTACTGAGGTGGATACTCGTCTGCGTTGTGAAGGTAAAAACTTCCCCCATGAATGTATACCATCACCGGCAACGAAGCATTCAACTGAAAAGCAGAATATTTTAATAAAAATGGCTATTCATGTATATTTTTCTCCTACATTTGTTGTATAAACAGCCATGTTCAGACAATCCTCTAGATCTATTTTTTCACGTTGACTGTATGTCATTTTGTCCAAGTCCTCTAATGTTGGACATTTTGTTCCATAGCTTTCTGCATTGTGAATACCTTGCCACGGTTTAATCGGAACCGGTGCCTAGACAATATGATTACAGTGAATTCAATGAAATCATGATATGGACCATTTTTTATAGAACCTTGAATCGCTTTGCTCCACTTGGTGATTCGGCATATCGTACATTCAAAAATTGGAATATTGTACGTTCGGTCCATGCAGAAAATCCAATCGATCCTTGTATCATTCCATATTTTGGTAAATTTACAATCGCTTGACGTTTCAGAGCGTTATGGTTACGTTCAATATTCTGTTGAAATGTGGACTGACGTTTATTATTTGAGTTTCATTGTAAAAATCATTAAATTTTGCTTACGTCAGATTCGATATCGTTCACATCTAAATTTTGAACTCTCTCAATAAGTACTTTTAATGTATTCGAATCGATTTCACCCCACAAATATTCTGCACATAAGATGCAAATGAACAATATCGTTTTTAAGCACCACATTTCGGCAACGAAATACTTTCATTTACTGTAATTGAAATCAGTGAGACCGAATTTAAACAAAATGCATTGTTTAATTAACAATTGATGCATTCAAGTTGTTTATTTTTTTGTTTACTTTGGGATTTTTTAAAAGAAGAATGTTGATTTTTTATATCACTCGTCAACTCATTTTTTGTTGGATTATACGTGGAGTCGTACCAATAAAAAATGCATAAAATCACTGGCTAGCTTTTTGGCATTGTTCTTTAATCTCCGGTGATGTTTATTTGAATATTGTAAAACACACAACCTTAACCTGAATCTTATAAATTGTCATAAAATTGGAAAAAAAAATCGTAACATTCAACGTGATGATTTTTAAAGGCTGTACTTAATGTTTGTCGATTTAGGTTACACTGAATTCAATTTCTCAAAGCAAAATATTTTACCAACAGCACCAAGATCGGCATATGAATGATCTGACTTCTGCGTGATTACTAAATACGATCGAACTACAAACAAAACGAACACAGCCAATTAATTGAAAATATCATAAAATGTTATCAGTGTTATCAGTTCAGATTTCTTATCATCAGACGAACTCATTCAAAAAAAGACGATGCGTTTTTATAAAATAAAGTTGTATATAAATAAAAAAAATCTATTTCTTATTTAAATTTTCGAATTGATTCTGATTAAGAGATAAACTATGACATTTCTTTTTTTATTTCTTGTTTGTACCAAAAACTAATTTTTCGATAACAAGAATTGGCGATTCAAATGCCAATGTTGCTATCAATGATACAAAAACGGTTAAAATATAATTTCCAACGAATCCATGAAATGTTATTAATTCGCTGAAATAAGGGGGGGATTTTATTGTAGTCATCATAAGAAGCAGCACTGGATAGTTGGATAGTGTAACAAATACATGTCAAAACAAATCCTGAAAATCGGTTGTTTAAAATGTGGGAATAAAACATTATTTGAGCTAAAATGTGTTGATTTTTGTATTGAAACTCCTTTCAAATTGACCATCATTTGACCCAAACAATATTTGGTTTTGTACGATTGGTTTTCACGTTCGATATGGAAACATTCTGAAAAATCTCCGAGTTCGAACATATTTTCGCGCATTAGGCCGGATGGTATTTTACCCCATGCATCTACAACCGAGTTTATAACAAAAAATGACTAATCCGCACCATTAACAATAACATTCAAGCTTCTGAGCGGTGGGCGCTGGTATCGAAGATTTTTTGTTGAAGATTCAACGAATACGACATCTATTAAAATACATAAACATTTTTGTTACTAAAGAACACACTGACTCTGATTTTGTATGTCCGTTTGTATTGCAAATTTTGCACTCAGTCGTCAACCGTAGCTGCTTGTGCAAAATTTACAACACACACGCATACACAGAATCGGTGTCAGTACTAATACATTTGCAATACAGCTATATAGTTCGCTAGAGCTGTGTCAATACAGCAGTAGTAACGAAAATCTTTATTGTCTTTAATAGGTGGCGTATTGTTGAATTTTCAACAAATATTTCTATACAAAAACTGCTTCACCAGCGCCCACCGCTTCTGAGTATGTTTTACGTTTAATTGCCCACATATCAAATCTACGTTTTCCATTTCCAATCGAGTTTAGCTCTTTTCGGCATTCCTCTTCATTTTTGAGATCGATGATTCACCTGAATGGGCAATTTATAGATGATAAACAAATAGTACAGAATCGCATGCGACGGCAGTCTCCCAAGTGACGCAATATCAATTATATTGTGCATTATTTTAGAGTGGCTACTGTTGTGATAAAAAAGAGTAGGAATAAAATGTCATCATTTCTTTTATGGCTAAATAAGTACATTCCTCACTTAATTATGTGCCAAGTTTGAGCGCTATACAAAAACTACCAGATTGATACAAACGAACTCGAACCCGAACCCGAACATGAACGTTGACACCTTCACTACCAGTGTTATTTCTTCACTTGTTCAATTCTGACTCAAATCGATTTGTATTTTTTTTTTGCATAAACAGGAATACTGAAATGAAATAACTGCATCAACGTAAGTCATTTTTTTGCTGTGTTTCAGGCTAGTTTTTAATGTATTTAAATGGTAATTTAGTTACAAAAATAATGGATAATAGTGAAAAATTTAAAGAAAAGAAATTACAGAAACTTGAAAAACAATTGAATTTAGAAATTTGTTAAATAAAATGATAAATGATAAGAGAACTTTATTCTGAGTCTGAATCTGATATAACAATAACATCACGTTCGCTCGATATCACTTGATCTACTTGATTAGGCGTGTGGGAAGTGCTCAGACCCATCTCATCGATGTTCCACACATTTTGAGGCTCAACATTTACAGGGTGGGCCAGAATAACTGCAATTTTTATATGTGCTCAGAAAAAGTATTGTTTTTTACTAAAATTGAATGAAAACTTTATTGGGATTTAGAATAGGGTCCAAAATTTTAAATTCATGTTTTGGTTTTGATTCTTCCTCCGTTTGCACGGATCACCAAACGCAAACGTCGTAAAAACGATTTACACGCGGACCGCACCATTTCGATGGGAATATCGTTCCAAATCTTGACGATTTTCTTTTTAAATGCATCCAATTTTGTGGTTTTCGTAATCTTCAGATCATTTAACTTTGATTGCATGTAGCCCCACACAAAATAATCCAATGGATTCAAGTCTGGAGACGATGGCGGCCATTCGTCTTTATCAATAAAATCAGGCACATTTTCCTTTAACCACTGTTGCACTCTGTTTGCTCGATGTGACGGTGCCCCATCTTGTTGAAACACCCATGGTTCATTACCAAACACTTTTTTGGCGTGTGGCAACAATTTTTTGCGCAATATTTCTTCTTCATACACAGCTGCATTGATTTTAACGCCACTTTCAACGAAAACAAGGGGAAATTTGTGGTCGGCCGAAACGGCGCCCCAAACCATGACACTTGACACATTTTGATATCGTTCAACGACTAAATCATCTTCAGGAATGTCCTCAATTGTCGCTGCGTAAACACGATCATTTTGCGCATTGAGACTTGGCTGCAAAAGGAACAACTTCTCGTCGGAGAAAACGATGTTTGAGGTTGCGGCTCGGCTTAGCAGCTCTTTGCATTTTCGCTTTCTATCTTGCTTATTTTTTTTTTGTCAAACCATGTTTTCGGTTTTTTTTGAATGGTTTCATTCCCAAATCTTCTCTCAACACTCGTCGCATTGAAGATCGACTGATATTGTGCTCACGAGCTAATATTCTGGCGCTTCTTTTGTTATTTCGAAGAATTTTCTTTCGTACCTTTTGGACCAGACCTTTTGTTCGTACAGATCTTTTTCTGCCCGTTTTTCGCTTCACATCGACAGTTCCACGCTCCTTGTATCGTTTTATGGTGCGATGAATAAAATTCAAACTGATATTGTCGATCTGAAGCTTCCGAAAAATATCAATTTGTCGCAAACCTTTTTTATGCAAATTCAAAACGAGTTGACGTTTCACATCCATTATTGTAGCAAAGTAAACAAGAACTGCGCAATAATGTGCATCATCACAGTGGATAACCAAAACATGAATAAACATAACGGTAAACAAAAGAGTGACTGGAAAGTTATTATAGTAGTATCTACATAGGTGCGAAAAAAAATTGCAGTTATTCTGGCCCACCCTGTATATTTTGAATGACCCTTTCATAATTGTTAAAAAACAGTTCAACATTTGCTCGATCGAACGCTGAAACACATGCTACGCTAGTAGCTTCTGGTGTTCGCATCGATATCTTGGCTCTCTGTCAATGGTCCCCCAAATTATCCATTATCCAACATCCATTCATCCATGGATAAATTTTGTTTTTAAAAGGACTGGATAAGTAATATCCATGGATGTTTTTTAATGGATAAGTTACATCCACCATCCATCATAAATTTATTCATGAAAAAAAGAAAGAGAGAGAGAGAGAGAGATCCACTTGGATAGAGGAGAGTTATAGTGCATCCATGGATAGAATAGATGTTAGTTTATCCATTTATGAGTTATATTTTATGGATAAATAAATAAGTTGGATTTCAAAAATACGAATGAATGGATAAACTCTACATCTCATTTGACATTTCATGTGAAGTATTCGATTAGTATATAGAAATACTGGATGATGGATGAAACCAACCGGCTAAGCCTATGAAGAGACAAAATGCGAATTCCCCTCATCTGTGCCATCTTGTATTCCATAGTTGAACTCCCATTAGTTACGATAAATTGAATCGAAAAAGAGAAAAAAAACAACAACAGTAACATGGCTACATAGATCTGTTGACCAGTGAGATATGTATAACAATGTAACGAAAGAATGAAGAAAGCGTATATGTGTATGTATGCATCAGCACGCAGAGATGTACAGCTCTGTGTGGCCGTGCTATTGTTGTTGTTTTTTCTCTGTTTCATTTCAATGCTACAGAATTAAATTCAGTTTTTCGATCTAATTCGAACTAATGTGAGGTGGCGCTGATCAGCTGCGTTCGCATAAAAAATTTCCCAATCTCATATACGCCAACCCCGCTTGGATGAGACATCTGATTCATTTTGGATTTGACAATACAGATCAACAAGTTTCAATTTTCAGTTAAAAACATGTATTCTTCTTTTTGTCAGTTTTTTATTATTCGAATTGTTGAATTCTGAAGTTTAATTCACAGCAATGAAACGACAACAACAATAACACATATTTTTACTGTCAAAATTTTGATGTCAAATGGTGTCGACATTGGTGACGGTTTTTTGAAACAGACTGTGTAATCCATATTCATCGTATATGATCCTACGTAAAGTTCTATACTTGATATAGTTCACATTGACAGTCCAAATCGTTTATGTCCACTAGCGAGGACATGGACTGTGTGTTTCTTCTGTTACATGTACGTTGTAATGGACAAGTATAGTAACATGACGTCGTTCAAATAAATTTAAAAATCCGTCCAATGGTGTCGACACCATCTAGCACGGTAGTAGGGATTTCATTGCTGTGGTTTAATTCATTAAGTTAATTGGATGTTGGGTGGTTTATTCATTAATCCAGCGTCCAACCACATCAAGGATTAAAAGTTATGCAAATGAGTGGAGACACTGAGAAGCCAGTGAGATTGCTCTCTAAGAACTCAAAACGTTCGAGAGTTTGGAAAAATATTGAAAATTGTCGATTTGGCAGAGGGGCATGTGAATTGAAATCATTAGTTCGAAAGGAGGTTTTTATATGACGGCTAAGCCAATTCTACGTACGAAAAGTCAAGATTGAAAGTTATGCAAATGAGTGGAGACACTGAGAAGCCAGTGAGAGTGCTCTCTAAGAACTCAAAACATTCGAGAGTTTGAAAAAATATTGAAAGTTGTCGATTTGGCAGAGGGGCATATCACTATTATTAAAAGCAAAAGTCTATGTAATAACTAAAAATTTCCTTGGAGTATCTATATCATTCATAAAATTAATTCAAACCCTAATTTTCTACAGTGGACAATTGTTGTTCGAATTTTTTTTCAAACACCGCACATACATAGAAACGCTTTTTATCTTCGATTTACGTTTACCATGAACATACCTATTTTCAGCACTTTCATCACTAGAATCATCAACATTCAAATCCGACGAAGTTGAAGATGCTGAAGATGTACATCTCTCGACTGAATCAGGTGGCAAATTTATCGTTGGTCGGATGAGTTCGTTGACCACACGATCCCAAAACTTATAAATGCGTGGAATCATGGCTATCAAATCCCCCACCATTGTTGCAACAATATCTGTGTTGACTTTTATAGTATGCCCGTGCTTAGTTGACATTTCCTGCAAATAAATAGTAGTGAAAAAATATAGTTGAAGTAATGAAAATAGTGGATTTATAGTAAATAGCAACTGTCTTATAATTTTACTATACCATTAGAGTGATTGTTGTCTGCGCATTCTCGGTAGATATAGTCAAATTATAAATTAATTCCTTTCTCATATAGCGCATTTCGTATTTTCCGTTAGGTTGGTTCCAGTTATCAGGCAGGTCATTGATAATTGTGTTTTTATTATGGTAAAACTTTCAGGAATTATTATCTATGGAATAAAAAATGAAAACTTACTTGTCCTGTGCCCACGAACGAAAATTTCTTCGATAACAAACACGCATGTGTTACCAACATAGTTACGTCTGTGTGGTTATGTAACCTGTTTCTATGTTTATTAATCGCCATATTGAGGTAATTTTCAACAAATTTTGATAGCGGCATTTTTCTTTTTTCTTTTTCACATAAAGTGATAAAGGAAAAAATGTTGTACACTTCTGATTTTATTTTGACACATTGACTTTTTATTTTAAATATTGAAGTTGTCTGTGATTGGAACTTTCAAATTTTTCACACTCATACAGTTGCAATTTGCAATCACGTGTGTATTTGTTACGCGTAAATTACACGACGAATTTAAATGGACAAAAAAAAAGAACGAAGCAAAATATCATTTGTAGGTGCACACGATCGATTTGCAATTCTGAACTACCTGATTATCCCAAAAATGATAAAATGTGTGTATGACTTGGGTGTATGAGTGTGAAAAATTTGAACGTTCCAATCACAGACAACTTCAATATTTAAAATAAAAAGTCAATGTGTCAAAATAAAATCAGAAGTGTACAACATTTTTTTCCTTTATCACTTTATGTGAAAAAGAAAAAAGAAAAATGCCGCTATCAAAATATGATGAAAATTACCTCAATATGGCGATTAATAAACATAGAAACAGGTTACATAATCACACAGACGTAACTATGTTGGTAACACATGCGTGTTTGTTATCGAAGAAATTTTCGTTCGTGGGCACAGGACAAGTAAGTTTTCATTTTTGATCGAAGCCTGATCATGCCCGTAGCTAACAACACCTCTAATGCGTATTCCGAGTACTAATTGACGTTTGTAACAATATGGCTGTCACGGTTTGGCAAAATCATAATGAATCGATTAAACTGCGTTAAAGTGTTAAAATAAAACAGTAGAAATAAATTTTTTTTAATTTTTTACATTTTTGAAAATAAAAAATCTTTTGTTTTTTTAATTTTGTGAGATTTTCTGTACACAATATTCAAACATATTAAATTAATAAAAATTGGTTGACATAACCTCACTTTTGTGTCACAATCGTGATAAACCGATTAAATAATTATTAAAATAGTGAAAATAAAAATATTTTAATTTTTTACATTTTAGGCAGGAGAGCGTCATGTTGAATTTTTCTCTATGCTTTGTTGGTGGAAATGTTTTGGGCCTTTCTTCTTCTAGATTTTGTGTGTAAGTTTTCAAACCATCATAACCAATATTATGTGGGGCTAAGCGGTTTTAAATGAAACTCCAAATTTCTTGTTTTGCACATCAAATACGATAGTAAACATTTATTTTATTGAGAATTTGCTGTTTTTTTTTGTTGTTTCAAAGTTATAGTAATTTTTCTATTTTGGATTTTGTGTGTGTATGTGTTTGTTATTGAAATACATATAGTGTGAATGAATTTCGATACATGAAATCCATTTGATCGAGTCACAAAATGCAATGTTCCTTGTTAAATAGATGAACATAAACTAGAATATTAGTGTATTTATGATTTTTGAAATTCTCTCAATAAAGAGAGTGGTAAAAATATACCGATTTAGGTTTTTTCTTTAAATTTCTGTTATTTTTTCCACAAATAGAGAGTGAGTAGCTGTAACATCCAAATACGTTTATATTTCAGTTTTTTCTTTGAAACTGTTGCATCATCATGTTATCATTACCAAAAATTGTTCATGTTTTCTTGTTTTTATCATTTTTAATAAAATGAACAAAAAATATATGAATTACAGAAAAAAAGTAAAACTGAAAAACCATTAAAATTAATCATCTAAAAGAGACATTTTCAAAGTACAGATTTTTTTAAGTGAGTGGTTTAATAATTGGTAAATGTTTTCGTGATGTTTGTAATTCGCACATTCCTTGTGTATTAATATAAAAGTGTGTGTAGTTGAAAGTTTTTTTTGTCTAGTTTAAAGATTTTTGTTTAGAAAAATTGCTTAAAATTGTTGTAAAAATTCGTTTTGTGGCGGAAAATCTCTACCAATTTTCCCATCGACAAAACAGTCCAATGGTAAAATTGATCAATGCTAGATCTAAAACTAAAGAAAAGAATAAAGTTTATTTGAAAAAAAAACGAAAAGGAAAACCAAACTGAAGTCAGAAAATAAACACGATATTTTTATTTTGAATGCGATAGTTTTTTGTTTCAAATAATTTATAAAAAACAAAGTAAGAAATTAAAACAAACATGAATCTATTGGGATTAAAGAATTGTTTTTTTTTTCTCAATTTTCTGTGTGTATTTTTTAGTTCTAGAGTGGTGTTGCGGATGTTCAGATTGTATATAAGTAAATAATTATAATCTTTAACATAATCGGTTAAGTTTATGAATTAAATCATAATGATAAATCTAAATTATGAGAGTTCCAAAAAGGTCAAAACTCAAACTCAAACACGCTTAAAATTAATTGTGAAGGAAGCAAATTGTGTTGAATAGGTATATAATATATTTATCGGCGACTTGTTACTCGTTCTTTTTTTCTTTCGCGAATAAAAAATTTGCAGCTCAGTCATATCATCAACATCATCATCAATCTCTTGTTGTGTGTCTGTCGTTATTCTTTTCAATTGCTTCGCGAATGAAAGAGATCTTCATTTTTTTTTAAAATACGAATGGCATTGCTCTATCATAACCTTGTGTCACAGATTCAGTGTTCAAAACAAAAACCAAAATAGCAAACAAATTATAAGAGAGTGTGAGTGAGTGTCAGAAAAATAAAATCAAATTCCAATCCAAAATGATTTGTCTCTTAGCATGTCCTATCAGTTCATTCTCAAAAAATGAGTGTGAGCATTTGTGTACGGTATGTTTTTATCCGTTTGTCCTATGTTTTGTTTAGTTCTGTATCATTTTTAATCAGACAATATATTTGGATTTTGGCATTTAAATATTTCAGCTCATCTGGATAACGTAAGGCGATGATACGAAATGAAAAAAATAGAAGTGATTGTTATAGTTATGGTATTAGTATTTTTATATCTATACAATACAACAATCACTTCTATTGTTTTCACTCCATATCATCGCCAAACGTTATCCAGATGACAAAATCCAAATATATTGTCTGTTTTTAATATAATCGTAAATTCATTCATATAGAGTTTTTTTTCCTTGTCTTTAAATATACAAAAAATGTTTCAAATATATCACAATCGAAGGGTAATAATTACAAGTTTTTCGTATTATTCATCATTTAATACAAACATAAATGAAATATAAAATTCCTGAATCAAAATGTTTTCAGTACCAATTTTGTTCATTTTCACATATGCATTTGGAAAAATATAACCAAAAATGAAATTGATCAAATCAGTAAAGAAAACAAAATAATAGAGAAAAAACGAATGATTTGCGTTACACGTATTCACACATGCGTTCATTCACTACACTTTGTCGCTATGTTCAATGAACATTATTCATATACACGGTTGACATTTCATTGTATATATTATTCCGAAGGAAAGTGGAATGAGCAAATTGTAGTTAAATTATACACATAACAACGAAAAGGAAAATTAAAAAATAATTCATTTTTCTTTCCAAAATCGATTGTCGTGTAATATCAATTGGTTTTTTTCATTATCATGATGATAATATCATCATTTGTACTAATTCGTTTGTACCAAAAGTGACCCGAATTCGAACTTAAATCGAAAATCGGAAATTTGAAGAAAAAACAACAAATTTACAATTTGACTAAAATTGGAAACCAAAGTGGCTGTTTGTGTTGGTTGTCATAACAAAAAACAAATAATAATCATAATAATAATAATAAATATAAATAAATATTATCTAAAATCATATTTGTGATCGAATTTTAAATTATCAAATTTTAAATGATAAAATTTGATGAACAATTTTTTTCACCTGATGTTTGTGTTAATGATCATGATGGTATGCATGAACGTGCACGTTATCCCTAATCGTTTCAATTGTGATTGAGACAATGCTTTGATATTTTTGCTACTGTTGGTGTTATTATTGGTATTGGTGTATGTAGTGGAATTTTTTGGATTTGATTTGTTTGTAATATTTTTTATGTTTTGGTTACTGTTTGATAGACACAAAAGAATAACGACAACAACTAGTGTGTGATAGTAGTAGTAATAATAGTAGATTGATGCGATGCTTTGAATGCTGAGCTTCCAAATTTCCAGTCACCATAAGTTCTTGGGCAAAGCATAACCGTCTTTGTTGATATAGAAATGACGGCCTGGATCGATGATCCAATCTTTTTTCTTGACCTCAGTGATGGCATCAGTAATACCAAGTGCCCCATTGTTACCAACATTGGAATTGTCATTTACATCAATTCCATTGATCAGTGTTTGAGTATTGGTTTTACCACCAATTGTGCGTTTGATAACGGTTTTCGTATTTCCGTTTGGATCGACCACAGTTTCTGATGAGTAGACGCCATCCGGCTTGCGAGAATATTGATACGAGAACGATTGACGATGAACTTTCGGTCCATCTCTGATACCTTCAAATGCACCTCCATAATGAGGAATGCGAACATTTGATGGATTCGGTCCCAATTCGGGTTGTTTGGCAACACGTTTCTCATCTTCGTCAATGCAATGGATTTGATCCATGACTTTTTCCTCATCGGTCAGTTTGCGTTTTGGCTCAGCGACAGTTGGTGCCATAGTCTTGGCCATAGTTGCAGCGCGCATTTGTTCCAATTCAGGTGATATACGTTGCAACAATGTATGCAATTGATCAGCATAGATTTCACCATCCAAATCAACATCAATCGATGGCTTTACACCAACAAAATTCTTGAAATTTTCAAATCCCGGCTTCATGTACTCCTCACGGAAATTCTCATTCATTCCTTTGGTGTCTATATTAACAATGTTGAAATAATGAAATGATATTATGAAATCATTTTGGTCAAATATCTCTCTATTATATGAACAATGATGAAATAATATCAAAGTCAATTGAAGTGGCAAAGTGAAAAGTAACACAGTGAATAGTTTCTATAATGAATCAAATAATAATAGATTTACCATCGAATTGTTCGAATGCCTTCAACATACGCCGCATTTGTTGTTCGTGGTATTTTTGAATTTCAATTGGATCGGAAAACACTTGGAATCCGAACATCTTGTTGTCGAACAATTCATCGTCAGATTCTTCATCATACCAAATTGGCTTCTTAAAATCATTTCCGAATGCTGGCACTTTGCTATTAAAACAAAAATAGAATAGTAAACAAATGTTGAATCGTGGGCAGCAATTATATAATGTGTTAAAAGCATTCATTTACAAAAAAAAAAAACTATTGTTCAAACATCATCATTTACCACACTGTCAAAGTAAACAAAGATCAGATGATTGAAAACCATACTTCAAAACACTAAAAAAAACATATCAATGAAACATTTAATCGCAAAAATTCGAATGATTTAAAATTTTCCACTATTCCGACACAAAATCAATAAAAAAGGTACAAAACAAATAATCCCAGGTTTATCTCGTACGTAGTTATCATTTTCACCGTTTATCGATTTTTCCACCAAACATTCACTCGTCGAACATTATACATATAGACAGTACAAAGAGCGATGCAAGATTTCAATCCGGGACACACACGGGAGACAAATTTTGTTGTGTGGAAAATTATCGATTTTCAAAATAAAATAATCGCTTACCTCTTGACATTCTTCTCATTAACAGCCGATTCTTTTTCGGCTGTGCCATTCAAGCCAAACATTTTCTTCAAAAGATCCATTTTCCCTGTCCACTTCTCTTTCTCTCTTGTATCACACCGAATTTTTTTTTTATTCACAAAAGACAACGCAAGCGATTTTCTTCTTTGTGTTCAAATTGGAAACGGAAGGGAAATAAAATTAACAGTAAAACGAAAATGATAAATTTCAAACGCAATAAAAATTTTGCAATCGATTTTAATGTTCTTATCACAAGAGTACACTCTTTTTTTTCTTGCTCGACTCGTCAAAACTCGATTTTCGCTTTACTACTACAGCCGTTTTGCCAGAAGAAAAAACTAGTATATATGGATGCAACCAATGATACACACTAAATGTATTGACTCGTTTTTGCTTCTGAAATGAAATCTCTAGAACAAAATATAAATGTCAAAATAATAATGTATCTGTTTGAGTGTGTAAATGTTTGCGAATGAATACATGTACAATCGAACGGCAATACACATGTATACCGCGAGAATCTGTTGAAATTGGGTGCGTTTAATGACATGTATTGCGATGTTGTATCAAAACATTCATAAAATTACATAATAAACTCATTTTTTTCCAAATAAATTCTAAACTTTCGTTTATTTTCGCCTTTTTTCACAGAGTAATAAACTAGTGATTCAATTTGGTTTTAATTTCTAGTAGACAAACAAGCCGCATTCACTGATTTATATTGATTTCACTCTAGTGATGACCTGCTTTCAAAACGAATCGAAGACCACAATAGCCGCAAGCATGAGCTCCAGGCTTATCCTAAAATTTAATTAATAAATTGACAATATAGTAAGCCTTTTTAGTTAAGCAATGCGGATGATTGGAAAATTTTCATTACCAAATTGATGTACACCTTTGGATGACCCAAATTTGGATCGCCACCGTCACAACAAACAACACGTTCAGTACATTCCTTTGGTGGAACTTCGGCAATTAAATTAATACCTATAATAATTTGGAATAGAAATCATGATAAATAAAGTCGATTTCATTTCATAAAAAAATATAAGTAGACGAAAAACAAACCCCAATTCTTATTGACGTAACGTGTTGCGTTTGTGAATCGAACATTTCGATAGTCGTCTGTTTCGAATGACTGAAAATGTAAAGCAATAGGTTGCATTTATTACAAACATTGTCTAGGCAATTGGAAATGAAAATCTTTATTGAAAATAGCTTTTGGTCATTCAGAGACAGATTTAAAATCAATTTTGATACAAAATCATGGATAATACCTGGCCAGTGTGAGTTTCCTTTGAAATTTCATCAGGATTTGTCGAATAAGCTCTTGTACACAGTGTTGGTAATGAACGAACTGATTTAATATTGTTCGATACAACACAATTTCCAATGAATCGTCCAATAGAAGCCATGATTTTTTACACTATGATTTTTTTTCTTTAATTAAATGGAGTTTTTCAATCCGATTTTCTTTGTCAACACGCAAATCTGAACGAGTGAAAAAAAAAACTATGTAATTACTTGACGTTTCAAATGACAACTGGAAGTGAAGCAGTCGCGATAACAGGGGAAGTACTAAACGTACTAGATTTATTTGATTCCAATGACTATGATGGTTCGGAGCGGTATTTGAAATAGTATATATATATATTTCAAGAGTGAAATAGACATACAAAAAGAATTAAATAATGATTTATGCTGGAAATGAAAGAAAATCAAAAAATTGTTTCACAAAGTTGAGTTACATAAATTTTAAGCTTGGGAATTTTTACTGTTGATTTTTCTGATGAATTGGTGTGAATTTTATAAAAAGTATGTTCCAGCGTTGACATTATCAAACGATATCGATATAACCGGTGCTATAAACCGATTAAAGTCCCATTCAAGTAAATTCAATGGAGTTGTTTAATTCGTTACAATAGTGACGACAGTGTGAATTTACACATACAACTATAGACATTGTTCAATAATAAATAGTTAAAATAGACTTCAAGTGAACACATTCATTCCACAATGTACATAATGAAAATTAAGCTTATTTTATCTGTTCATATCACAGCAAAACAGAAGCACGAGCATTCCGTTGTTTTTCCCCCGTATTTTTTGTGATTTCCTAGTTCTTTTGTTATTTCGACGGAATGGAAACAGTATCGCAAGTGATGCTGTGACTACCGCATCTAAAGTGCACCACACCATCACCTCCGCCGCTGCCGCCAAAGTTGCGCTTATATCAGCACTAAAACATTTGTATCGAAATTATGTTTGCCTCTGAATTTTTGAGTCTTCAATTGTGCATTGTATGTGACACCCTTTTATTTGTTCTCAACACTGTGTGCAAGTCTCTCTATTTCTTTTTCTTCTCTGCACAATCTGCATTCATCTCGAATTCTTCATGCCGAAATATGCGAATTGTTAAACAGATTTGGCTGAATCGTGCGCGATTTTAATGTGAATTTATTTACGCTAACTTATTATAAAGTTTCTAATCCCTTGATGTTATAATCTCTTCTTTTTTTTTTCAAAAAAAAAAAAAAATCTATTTAACATTGTAATTGCCAATGCATGCATGGCATTCAAATGCGAACGAAGAGCATTGAAGAAATATTCATAGATATAAATATATGTCGTTTTTAAAGGAATTCTTACACAAACTTTAGATAGCTTTGTCAAAATAGAGTAGTACACTGAATGCGCTTGTCTCATACAGCAAATTTGTGAATGCTAGGAATAAAAAAACCGTCCCATCAAATATCATCATCACAACAAACTGGTTACATATGTCGTTAGTATAACAAATTTTGATTCGACTAAATCTCTCACTCTCTCTCTTCTTTCCACTTTCTGTTACAAATGCATTTTATGTAAATGTGTTAGCATTTTCGAGAGATAATAATTTCCATTTAAGACACAGTCGTACTTAGTAATTAAATTACATTGTTCACAATTGCTGCTTCCGGGGTAGTCTATTGTAAAGGTAATTTTTTTAATTATTCAAATGATTTTCAATGTTTTTGAGCACTTGTCGTAACCATTTCGTAAGTTATCATTGGGAATTATACTACCATTCAGTGGATTACCATTACCAGCCCAATTCAACGCACACAACAAATAAAATATGTACCACAGCGCACATTCATTCAATTTCACTAAGTACTTGATATGCGTATATGGAGGAAATGGAATATGATTATTCCATTTTCGAGTAATGCACTTTTTGAAGAGTATTTTATCCAAAAGACAAGCACATGTCAATTATATTCTACTTTTGAGTTGACCGACCCAGTTTTCACTTTTATCTCAGCAATTAATGACAAGGAGGTATATCAGGTCCTATACATTATATTTGATGTATGCAAATGTATAGTTGAAAACTTTTTTGATATTATTAATCAAAAATAAACGAAAGAATGTTTAGAAAACATATTTCATTTTATTAAAAAAATAAATAGTAGCAGTAGATATTTATGTCAATCAGTTTTCAGTGTTTGTGATCCAAATCGGTGAAAAAATTATTGCGAATGTACCAAAATAGCCATTGTTTGAATACAAATTGTGCATCAACGTTATTATTTATTTATTTGTACGCGAATAAAGTGAATTTTTATGGTGTGATTTCGGTTTGGTGAGTGATAGAAATATCAATAAACGTATAGCTAACATTTTATTTTCTCCACTTGAACTGTGATACTGGGTACTCGAAAAATTTAAAATTTGATTCCATGCGCTATTTTTTGAAGGGTGTTCCTTCCCCCTTTTGTAATATTTCCGCTATTCCTGATTTAAATATTCTTTCATGTCCATTTCAATGTCGGCAAAAATTATGAACATTATCATTTCGTGAGTCAAAGTTTTTCCTCTGATTTATTAGATTTGTGCCATTTTTGACATGAAATTCCCAAAACTAGTTTCAAAAAGAAAAAGTCCCCACTTTCCACAGAATTCATTCGTTCATGATTATTTAAATTGCTGACCATTTATTTGAACAAATTAACTGGTCTAAGTATGTGTAACAATGAAAATTCAGGTCACCATTCAGTTGAAAATGATGTGTCCAAAATCCAAATCCTCTCTGGCAAAATCATGCTATGCCTTTTGTTTACTTTACATGCGTTGATAAACAGGAAGCAATAAAGTGCAGACGGAACCAGCAGATCGTAATCACAAAATGTCGGAAATACATTGATAATATTAATATGTTGTTATCGCTATAAAATATCTGTCTGTGTTGAAATGTGATCATACCCAGAAGAGACAAAACAAATATTGATTTTGTCATTTGTTAGCCTATTGACTAGAGCTTTACCTTGGAAGTAAATGGTTTTTTTTTGCACTGATACATTTTCATTTGTACACAAAGCTATAAACAGAAGATAAATATAATTGGAAAGGGTCATTTGGAAATTGGTATACCGACTTATTTCGGTTGGTTAAGCTCATGATTCCAATATGAAACACACATTTGACTGTTTTATTTGTTGCACATACATACCGACCGCACCTCAATATAAATCTGCCCGCGCTCCTGCCAATGTTCTGCACAGTAGAAATCTCATTTCAAATTTACTGTGGAGACGAACGAATCTCTTTCCATTTTCATCCATTTATATTTATTTAGTTATGATTAGAACATGGTATTCAGGGAATCATAGTACCTACTGCATACCTTGTTGTTTTTTGCACCTTTTTTGTGTTTGTGTTGAGCTTAACGCCCATGTTTTCTGTTTATGTCGATTTTTCATTCATTTTACTGGTTGTGATTTTGTTTAGAGTTTAATGGATAAAACCATACTCTCACAAATCTATATATTCGCGTTGAATGACCTCAAGGCTAAGGGATATAAAACGAAAACATTGTACAGATTTTCTATACAATTCGCCATCCCTTGTGCTCCATAACAATTCGGTAAAAGGTAAAATAAAACCGAGAAAGTGCAGAGAATGTATTGTTGGTGTGGCATTGCCATTTTGCACGGTTCGTAACATTAACTACCGATTTCTGTCTGGAACAGCAAATCGAAAAGCTTCTTGTTTTCGGTTTTAAACTACCAGATTTTATGGAATTTCAGCCTTATCTGTGTATTTCATTTTTTGTCTTTGTTTTGATTTCTTATTTGCGCGCTAATTCGGTAGAAGTGGAATTTGCCGTTCAACAACAAAAAGGAATCTTATTAAATTCTTCAAGTCAATCCACGGAAGTTTTTCCACCATCGTCAGCATTCATTCGAAAATATTCTCCAAACAAACTAACAATAAATACAATTGACCAAATTTATTTGTATAGCGATTCTTCAATTAAACTTCCAAATTTAAAGGGCGTGTGTGCTTAGCTGGTTTCGATTTGGATGCACATGATATTTGGTCAAAATAATCAATCGCATATTTGTGTAATTAACTACATTTTTGAGAATGAATTATTTGAAAGAGTGAAAAAGAGATACGAAAAAAAACGCCGAACAGATCGTTTATTCCAATCAATTACCATTTCAATGGCGAATGCAAGCAATAAATTTAAATATTTTCCGTAACCATCATTTGATTATTGAGTTTCGAATGAATTTTAAATATCCGTAATTTATACTCTCACTCTTTCTCGCCGCACACCCCTCCCCCCCTCTCTGTCTTCGGTGTGATCGATTTTAATTTAAACCAAAGTTAAATTGAATCAGAAACCATGCATCGATGCATGGCCACGGCTATTTTTTCCGCTACTAGAGTCGCGCATGCACATACCTCTATCACATCAATATCTCAATGTCTGGTTCAAACAATGATTTTAATAAGTGCATAATTTATACACGAAAGCGAGACAGCAATTGAGTTGTGAACAATGACCAAATTATAGTTGCATCACTGCGCCGGCCTCCTTCAGCCTTCCGCACCATACTTCTGGTTTCTGTTTTATTTTTTGCACCTGCAATTTTCATATATTGTGACATGTTCATTTTGTTAATTTTTCCGCAATGTAATAATTAATATGGAAAAATGCCGCTTACTTTATTTTCAATTTTCACTCTTTTTTATCCACATTTACTTTTATCCGACCACCACTTGATTTCGTGCATATACCCATCGAAGTACACATATTGCACAAATTGGTTAAAATGCATGGATTAACTGTTTCAAAATTCACTACACAGTATTTTTCGTTGGCATGTTCTTTTTGCCCTTTTTTCTGACCTATTCTAAATTCGATATTTATTTGTTTTCAAGTGAAATGTATTGCGTCATTACAAATCCAGATGCAGCTTAATTTGTGTGTATGCGAGAATTTCGATTCAAAATGGTAGTAACTACTACCCCTTGTTCACCGAGTTTACCATTGCAAAAATTACAACTACAGTTATCACTAAAATGTCATCGTTGCATCGACCTACATAAATGTATTAATTTAATGGTCACTTTAGAGTTTAAACAATGTTGGAGCCGAACGTTTTGATAAAAAAAAAATGTTTGTAAATGTTTAATTACAAATTGATCACATCGAATTGATATTATACGTTTATGCACACATTTTTTGAATGTTTT